TTACCTGCCCTCTAGTCATTTTGTTCCACAGCACCTCTCCAAACTTAACCGCATGCCATGAATTATTCATAACATTAAGTGTTCAATATGCACAGCCCCATTGACTGACTGCTCATAGCACTTTTAAGTCTATGGAATCATGAAAGAACAACTGTTACTTTGAGCCTAATGGTTGTACGGTTTGATTTCTGTCTGTCTGATTTCTGTTCTTGTAAGCAAATGATTAAAAAAAGCAGCAGCTCTTCAAGAATCTTACAGGTTTATAAGAACGAACAGGTGGCCATTGACATGAAAGGGGTGGGCTTCCTTCTTGAGTTGCTGAAGGGAAGCTCGCCGTAGGGTTAGTCACACTGGAAGTCAGATGTTAAGTAAAATTAAATGAGGAAATTGGATAAAGTTCCCTTTTTATCCTCTTCCACCTTAGTGTACTTAGGCTTGTTATCCTATCCCAGATCTTTCCTTAGCTCCTCTGCATGCTTTTCCTAAGAATGTCATTCCCATCATGTTCTCAGGCTGGTGAAACTACTCAGCCTGTCCAGACTTTGCGTATAAAACCAGCAATAGCCTGAGTTGATGTGCAGATGTGGACGAAATTGTGGGTACCCTTCGATCAATGAAAGAAAAACCCACAATGGTCACAGAAATCACTCTAATCTGACAAAAGTAATCGTAAATAAAAACTGTGAAATTTAAGATCACACATTGCTTTTTAACCTTGCTTTGGTAGAATGGCTAAGAGTTAGACATTGGACTATTCTAAAGTGGCCTTCTATGAGCCCTGACCTGAATCCCACTGAGCATCTTTGGAAGGAGCTGAAACATGCCGTCTGGGAAAAATGTCCCTCAAACCTGAGACAGCTGGAGTGGGTCAAAATACCTGCCGAGAGATGCAAAAGTCTCATTGACAGTTACAGGAATCATGTAATTGCAGTGATTTCCTCAAAATGTTGTGCAACAAAATATGAAGTTAAGGGCTCGACACACGGGAGGTGACAAAAGACCGCGATCAGCTAAATTCGTCGCTGTCGCTTTTATTACCTGACACACGGGAGGCGATCCGCGGCCAGCGGCAAAGCCGTCTACTCGTTCTGTTCCATGGCGAAATCGAAACTTCCGTTGTTTTGTTTGGCTGTGTCAGGTTGGAGGGAATAGAGGTTATTTAAGCGGTTCAGAGTTAAAAAAGTTGTAGATATGATGTTTCACAAGGTGCTGTTAGAGTTATGTGAAATCTTACATCTGATTTTACTATATAAAACATAATAATAATCAACTTCTCCTCCATGTTTGCTCGGAGATGTACGGAGCATCCTGTCCGCTCATTGGTCAGTGAATGAAACCTCCGTTGATTGGTCCTCGTCCGAGCGACAGTGATGAAAAGTTGAAAATATTTCAACTTTCTGGGATTGCGTCGCCTGTGCACGACACATGCACGAGCGCAAAATTTCACACACACATTTTTCAGGTTTCGCTTAGTAGAAGAGAGACCCGTGATTATCGCTTTGTCGCGCATGTCTCATTGAAAATGAATGGAGGAGAGGCGATGTCGCCTCCCATGTGTCAAGCCCATTATAGGTTTTTTTTTTTATAATTCCATTGAAGCAGGGTTGAAAAGCAATGTCTGACTTCAACTGGTTACATTTCAAAGAATTTTTTATTTATTATTCCTTTTGTCTGGAGGTTTCTTCCTGTTAAAAGGAGTTTTCCTCTCCACTGCCGCTACATGCTTGAAGAAGAAGAAGAAAATATCATTTTTATAGCACCTCTCCTAGATAAAAATCACGAGGCGCTTCACAAAAACAAAAAATATAAAAAAGCATTTAGAAAATATTTAAAAATATATTTAAAATGAGCAAAAATAGACAATTGGGATTAAAAAGAAAAAATGTTAAGAAAGAGAGAGAGTGAACAGGAAAGAGGGAAATCAGTGGATCCTGAGGAAGGTTGAATAGGTGGGGAGAGCAGAACAAAGAGAGAGGGGTTGATGAAGGTCATACAAAAGCCAGCTTGAACAAGTGAGTCTTCAGCTGCTTTTTAAAGGAGACCACTGATCTCAGGCTCAGGGGGAGAGATCCAGAGTCTGGGGGCCACAGCAGCAAATGATCTGTCACCTTTGGTCTTTAGCCTGGTGCTGCACAACCAGTAGGCTTTTGGGCCATTCCCATCTGAACCGGGTCGGCCCGGGCCGGGTAGCTCCAGTCGGCCCCAGCCTGGCCAGGTTGATTCCACACATCCTTGCCTTAAGCCCATGTGGGCTGATTCTAACCACCAATCAGAGGCTTGCTCTAATGGAAGGTGTGAATTTGCTGTCAGCAGTGGGTGTGTTGGCCCTGGTCGGCCTGAAGCAGACCCCCTCGAGAAGAGGGCTGAGAATGAGCCTTGGTTGGCCCGGAAAAATTCCAGGCCACCCAGATATGTAAACAACCTATGCTACCCGGCCCGGGCCGACCCGGTACAGATGGGAATGGCCCATGCTATCCGGGCCGGGCCGACCAGGTACAGATGGGAATGGCCCATTAGATCACTGGACCTCAGGGACCTGCTGGGGGTGTAGGGACTAAGAAGATCACCAATGTAAGATGGTGCTTGTCCATGTAAGGCCCTATAGACCAGAACCAGGATCTTGAAATGAACCCTGAAGTTGACTGGCAGCCAGTGAAGCTGGAGGAGAAGCGGGGTGATGTGGGTGTATTTGGAGGACTTGGTCAGAAGCCGAGCACAGGCATTCTGAACCACCTGTAGACGGTTCAGGGAGGTTCTGATCAGACACGTGAAAAGAGAGTTACAGTAGTCTAAGTGTGAGGAGATGAAAGTGTGGATAACTGTCTCAAGTTCAGAGTGAGACAGAATGGGACTCAGCTTAGCAATGTTCCTGAGATGGAAGAAGGAAGAGCAAACAAGAGAACTGACATGAGAATCCAGGGTGAAAGCTGGGTCAAAGGTCACACCAAGATTCCTGACAGAAGGTTTGGCATGAGAAGCAAGCTGACCAAGAGAGTCTCTGACTTTGGGAACCAGCTTGTCTGGGGCACAGATGAGGATCTCAGTCTTATCTTCATTCAGCTAGCTGAAGAAAACACCCAGCCATCCAGGTTTTGATAGGGTCTAAGCAGGTGTGTAACAGCTGCAGCCTAGACATCTCATGGGGCTTAAAGGAGATGTTGCTTAGTATGAGGATTGCTGTCAAGACTCAGACACCAGTCAGTGACTCAGTGTAACCTGCTGGGTTCCTTATATAGTAAACATTTAACTGATTGGCTTAATGAACTGACCTGTATTGAATGTTTACTTGTGAAGTGCCTTGAGACGACTCTTGTCGTGACTTGGCGCTATATAAATTCACTTGAATTGAATTCAAGTTATCTCTGTGACCTTAGTGGGTTTTTCTTTGATTGGCCAAAGGGAACCAATCATTTTGTCCACGTCTGTAGATTTTTACTGTTATTTTGATACCCTCACACAGCAGTAGTGTAATCCCTCCACCCTTTAGCATGAAATTCAGCCTCACCTTTTTACATTTCTGGCGTCATTGTGGAACTTTTCCATGTCCAAACTGACAAGGTAAAATCTTAAGAACTGCACAACAGTTTTTATGGCTCAAAGTTGAATTACTAATATTTATTAATACCGAGCTGAGTAGTTTCATCCTACATGAATATGTTGATTAAAACAGCAGAAAGTCTGCATGCGGCACCTCAGTCATTATGGGAAAACTCGGATGAATGTGAACCTGGTCCCCCTTATTATATCGCGGTCCAGAGAACCAGCCTTTTCCTGACTGGAATCTCAAAAGGTGCTTTTGTGTTTTTCCATTTCACCACATAATGAGGGGAATAACGAGCACGGCTGTAACAACGTTCCGGTTCAAATTAGATCGAGGAGGGAGGGGGGAAGGGTTTTTTTCGGGGGAGGGAGGAAAGGTGGAAAGAGAGACTCGTATTTAAAAATCCAAGAGCAATTACCGTCAAGTTTTTTTATTTTTTTCTAGGGACACAAATGCTGGAGTGCATTAGGGGAAACGAGCAGTGTGAATTCTGCAGGGATGCTTTTTGTATTTTGCTGTAGTGTCTTGAAAAGGTTGGAACAGCAGAAGTGAAATGGAGATAATGGATTCTCAGTGGGGAGCTAAATGTTTAGCTAGGCTTCACGTTCGTCATACTCAAGAGTAAAGAAGTTAGAGCTCCTCTTTCTTAGACTGAGTGCAGGCTGCAGGAACATGTCATAAATTCGACTCGTGTGACACTAATGGATGTTCACACTGTGTTGTCACATTTTCTTTCCCATGTCAAAATGGAAAATTTTCTTGCCAAAAGTTACCAGGAAAAACATCTCACATGCGTAAATAAGAGACGATGTTTTCCATGCATCTTTATTTAGATAGAAAGTCATATGTAAATGCCGGCTCCTTGTTTATTCCAGGCTAGCTTTCAGTGCAGCATGGAGCCTCTGAATTGGTGTTTGCCTTGTCCCAGGCGACGTCAACGGGCCCTTCTTGTCTCCATGGGAACCCCTTTTTAATGTCAGCCTATCTGCATATCAGAACTGCACAAAGAGCATGAGAGACAGAGACAGAAAGATGGGCCGAGTCGAAGGAGCCTGAGAGAGGGAGGAGGAATCAGACAATGGCATCTCCACAGGGTCTTTCAGTGATGCAACTTTCGCCACCATTTGACACTTTGACAAAAGAGGTCCACACGTAGTCTCCAGCAAAACCGGACCATTTTTGGTAATATCCCTTTTTTTAGGAAAATGGATGAAAACACCCCCTGAAAGATTTCTCTTGAATTTCCCGAGCCATTTTGTGACGGTCCTTTTATTCCCATTGTGCTTGCCTGCACATTTGGACAAAAGCGATCAGCTCTGCTTTCTATTAGCTTTTCTGAAATGGGGTTTATCCTTCACAGTGTTGCACGGGGCAAGGCCGTTTATGAATTCACAAAAAAATATGACCTATTCACCTTCTGACTTGCTCCTCTCCCCTTCTTCTTTCCTGGCCCTGCTAGTGCGAAGAGTCCCGCCTAGATTTTCTATTCCACCCACCAACCAGGAGGTGATGCCAGGCGGCAGCGTCAATCTCACCTGCGTGGCGGTGGGCTCGCCAATGCCCTACGTCAAGTGGACCACGGGACAGGTGGAGCTGACTAAAGAGGACGAGATGCCATTGGGACGCAATGTCCTGGAGGTCACCAACATTCGTGAATCAGCCAACTACACGTGTGTGGCCATTTCTTCTCTGGGCATGATTGATCACACAGCACAGGTTACCGTCAAAGGTGAGTGTTGTCATCTGTGAGGTTGTTGATTAAGTGACGAAAGCCCCAAATAACAATGGCATGCCCTCTAAAACATCTACAGTCTGTTAAAAACCATGCCTGTGATTTTCTTGTTCATGCACTGGTTTTGTTTTTCAGTCTTCACTGCTTCTACATCCGTCCTAAGTGTGTATGTGACTTTGAAGCTGTGTCGTCTACCTATCACAGCCTCTGGTATCAGTATTTGTCCGTATTGATTTTGCTTTCAACCCGGCTGCTCGATACACAAAATGTCACCGTCATTAGAGCGACCACAGCAGTACAGACCTCCTTCCCCAAGGAGGCCTTAATGCGAACCCTCTGTTTGGTTTGCATTTGGAACAACAGGAGCTATTCTGGCAATTTTCTCCTTTTGTCAGTAACAGCCAGGCCGGTTATTAAACACAAAATTGTGACTTCACTCTGGCTTTTCTGTTCATTTTGCGATAAATGCAGCTGACAGAGCTATGAAGATTAGCTTGGGAAACGGTCTCCTCGGCTCTATGAGACGGTGAATTATAGGACCTGTCAATTATTTTCTCAGTCTAGCATCAAAAGTGTCAGAGGTCCAGTTTGCCACGATGTTACCTGGAAGTTCTGTTTGTAATAACAGAGGGTTTGCTTCTTCTTCCTTAGCCTTACCGAAGCCCCCCACCTCACTCACAGTGACTGAAACCACAGCCACCAGTGTGACTCTCACATGGGACTCTGGAAACCCAGAACCTGTCTCCTTCTACATGATCCAATACAGAGCCAAGGTCTCTGACAATGGCTACCAGGAGGTGGAGGGAGTGGCCACCACGCGCTATAGCATCGGCGGCCTCAGCCCATACTCCGAATATGAGTTTCGCGTAATGGCTGTCAACAACATCGGCAAAGGGCCTCCCAGTGATCCTGTGGAGACACGCACCGGTGAACAGGCACCCTCCTCGCCTCCTCTGCAGATTCAGGCGCGCATGCTGAGCGCCAGTACGATGCTGGTCCAGTGGGAGCCTCCAGAGGAGCCCAATGGGCAAATACGAGGTTACCGGGTCTACTACAGCTCCGACATGACGGCTCCACTCAGCGCCTGGCAGAAACACAACACAGACGATAGCAGCCTGACAACCATCTCAGGGCTGATTCCTGACATCACCTACAGCCTCAGGGTGCTGGGCTTCACCTCTGTAGGTGACGGGCCACCATCTGACATCCTGCAAGTGAAAACACAGCAGGGAGGTGAGCAGCAAACCACTATGTGTGGCTCTGATAGTTCCTCTTGTGTGGCAGGCAGGAATACCTGAACAAACTGTGTTTAAAACCAATTATAAAAGTGTTTTTCTACGTCTGGATCACATAGTAGTCATGAATTTTGCTTCTCTGTTGCAGTACCCGCCCAGCCGACTAGTTTTGATGCTGAAGCTGAGCTGGACACACGCATCAAACTAACTTGGTTGTGGCCCGTCCAGGACCCCATCACCAACTACGAGCTGCTGTACTGGGAGGCTGGCTCCTCCAATAAGGTTAGAATAACAACATGAAGTCCTGACTATTTCATATCCTGGGTCTCTCTCCTACGCAGCATCCCAACTATCGTTCAGCCTGCTGCTGGATTTGTCTCATATTCCACAGCGAAGCTGCAGACGGATGAAGCGGACTCTTTATGATGCAATTTCTCTGAATGCGAAGCGTCAGCTGAAGCCGCAGTGTTGTAGTAATGCAGTCAGCTCCCCAGCTGACGAGAAAGATCTAATGTAGACTCACGCCGAAGCACGGTTTCCCACCTCTGTTGTGGCTATTCATTTGATTCTGTTGGACCGAACCAGCTGGAATCTCGAGGGCAAATTGTTTTTGGAACAAGCTGTTCTCTCATTCGACTGTACTCTATTGCGTTCATGGATGACAGATAAGATTTCAGAAGATTAAATCATCCTACTATAGCAGAACGGATCAGCACATGAATAGACTTGTGCTGCTTTTTATTTTTTTATTCATATATTTATCTGTCTAAATCTTAACCCCTCTAGAAACATGTGACCTTCAACCCAGCTGGCTCCTATGTTGTGGAAGATTTGAAGCCGGACACCTTGTACCATTTTTCCCTGGCAGCCCGCTCTGAAATGGGTTTAGGTGTCTACACCCAGCCCATCGAGGCTCGCACTGCTCAGTCCAGTAAGTGCACCGCCTCCCTCTCTCTCTTTGCCATCTGTCCTGTCTGCTTGTTAGCTACTAACCAATAATTTCAGAGAGGCACCTACAGGCACCTGAAACAGGTTTAGGTCGTTCCGTTCAGTGAGTGAGTGTGTGGGGGCAAAATTTTGAGTTTTATAGACCTTAAAACAGAAACTTGAATGTCGAGTCAGTCTCATCCAAGCGTAAAATGCTGACGGTGCGCCATCCCGGTCAGCGTCCTGCTTCCCCCCCCCCCGTCACCAGCACTAACCCTCCTGTTCGTCTGTCTGAGGGCAGACCCTGTGTCAAAGGTACGTTTGATGTTCCCACATTTGTGAGCTGTGTTGTTCTGCCTCACATCATCATGTGCTTTTACAGTGCAACCTTCAACACGTCACTCTTCTTTCACAATAAAAGCATGTGGCTTGTTGTGTGTCTTTCTTTGAGAGGAAACAGAAATTCTACCATTTCTCTGTAAACTGACTCTATGCAGTGGACCAGAAGCGGGACACATCACCGCGCTGGAGCCGGAACAATGGGAACAAACGCTCAGACGCTACAATGTGGAGCTTGTTCTTCTGCTAAACGATTGTTGGCTGAGCACCGACTCCAGCTCTCTGAGAGCAAACAACCCCAACAACAGACATGTTTAATCATGGAATGTGATCGGAATGCAGTGATTAATTAAAGTTAATCATGGAATTAACATTAATTAGCGGCAGCTGATTTGTGTGCATGCGCACCACTGCGCACATTTAAAGTCTAAATTCCCCTTGAGTTTGCCTTATATGTTGAGTAGTTCTGGAAGACACGTAGGAATGGGTGGACCAAGCACAGCGGAGTAGAGAAAAATCAGGATTATTACAACCCACCAAAAGGTAGACATAAAAATCCATCCTTAGGAGCATTTTCAGACTCCATTTTTAAGTTGTTGCTTAATTGGAGCTATGAAAAAAGAAAATATCATAAAAATAAAAATAAAAATTTGAACTATTTGTATTTTTTCCACCCTGCACGATATTTGACCTTAATTTGAGGTGATTATGCTTGCTGAAAATCAATAATCTGTTACCAAAATTAAACTGAGAATATATTTTTGTGTCTTTGGTAGCGCTCAGGAGGAATAGGAGCTAAGACTGTAGCTTCGGGAGATGTAGAAAGGATCATTTAATTGGCAATTTAACATCTTCTTCTAAATTTCTGAAAGCAGAAACGCTCAACTAACGATCAATTAAACGTATAATGTATAAATTCAACATAAATTTGTATGTTTGATTGAGCGACAGTGACGGCTGCCTCATAGGCGTCTGTACCTCCTTTGGTGTTGTCCTTTCCAAGTCCATTTTGACTTTGATCCGGCGGATTTTTCATCAGGAACCCAACACCAGAATCAATTCTGAAAATCATCAGAACTTTTCTAATTCAGTCTGCCACCTTTTCTTTAATACACAGGGTGCTGTCAGGCCTTTGTAGTTTTCTGTTCACACTCTGAGGATCCGGCACAGCCTCTGCTTTCTTTTGTTGTATTTTTTATTTATTATTTTTTTTATAAAAGTGGAGTTTGGTGTTCTGGTATTAGTTTGTTAGACTCATTGTTGGTTGCTCGACTTACTAAAGCACCATCCATGTGCATGCTTTGTAAGAACACCTATTTTTATAGTTTTGCTCCCTTCAAAGGACGTATTTTTCACAGCATTGAATAGATCCACGCATGCATTATAAGAATGTGTTTGTAATTATTTTCAGTTTTGTTCCTGTTTTGCATTTTAAAATTGTTTGGTTCCTGTTCTTACCTCTAGATTGAGAGTTTATGCATTTTTACAGCTTTTTGCACAATTGCAGCAATACAAATTATTAGTAACGTTGTTAAAAACAGTTTTTTAGGTGAGAAAACCTTAGTGTGATGCGGACATTGAAGCAGCATTATTTTGCAACACGATTGACCTTTAAAGGTGTTAAACACATTTGCAGTGGTCTCTAGAAATGAATGCCTATTAAGTCATCATCTGGTGGGGGGGGAGTCCAGGAGTGCCTAAATCAATTAAATTAAATTCAAAGATACTTTATTAATCCCAGAGGGAAATTAGAGTTTCAGTACACACAATTCAGAGATCAGACATACATGGGCAAAGACACATGACAAGAACTGGTGACTGTGGCCATTCACAACCCTGAGTCGTGCTACCTTAATAGAGATCAGAGGGTTTTACATGAGGATTGTTTCAGGTGGAGGAAAAAATAAAAATAAAATAAAAAAAGGCACTTCAGAGTTACCCTCCACAGGGAGGGCAGCTTTGCTATGCAAAAAACACCTCAGACAGAGATGCAACAGACTTCAGACATAACACAACATAAGTGTCCACTAGGTGGGGGTGGTAGAGTTGGGGACTCTCCACACATCAGTGAATGCAGCCACGATAAGCAGCGCTTGTCACCTCAGTCTGGACAGGGGAAGGAGGTCGTTGAGGTTTGGAGGGCACAGTGACTCCTGGAATGATTCGGCGGCCTTCACAGCCCGCAGTCCCGCCCAAGCTGGGATAGGAGACAGAGTTGCCATAGCGATGGCAGCATTCCACATTCCTTCTTGGGGGGGGGGGGTTATTCGTTGCAGCCTTACAGGCTCAAGGGCACCAGATTCAGATAAGAAATTGTTCTGGGGCCAGACAGAGATAATTTCCTCTCTGTCTTAAAGTTCTGTTGGTTCTCAACCTCTCAAAATCCCAATAATGGCGTAAATTAATCTATCCCAATCCCTGCTGATTTGTCCACTTTCTCCTTGATGGCATCCATCTTTTGTGCCAAAGCATGAATCTCAGCCAAAGTTCCAAGCCTACAACTCATCTCGACAATTATGTGAGTCTGTGCATCCCTGAGCTCGGGGAGAGCACCAATATTCCTCGACAGCTCGTTAATTTTCCGGTAAGCCAGATAGCCTCCAAGGCCAAAAAGCAGGAAACTTGACACCAACACCACGAATATCCAGACTTCTTCAGAATCCTCTACAGACAGTTGAGATAGACAAATCAGGTTCCACTGTTTCCAGAAGTCCATGATATGACCAACTGGGTCTGTTCCAGAGGGGTATCCGGGAGCCCCTTCTCCCGTTCTCGTCGTTGAAAAAATTTTATCAATCGCGTTAAGTGACCAACTGACAAGATCCATTTTAGTAATTTCAGTTTCCAGAAAAAATGCAGAAGCAGCCGTGCACCCAAAGACAGACGAAGAGCCTTTAGGGTAAGATAGGGAGGAGAGGAGGAAAAAAGTGTCTGCACTCTTCAAGAGCCGGAAGAAGCAGAGAATTCAGCTGGATGAGAAGTAGCTTCAGACGGGAGAATTTGTAGTCTTATTTCCTGATTGTTAGACATCTCGCCCTTTCATGTTCAGGCTGTATGAAAAGTTCAGAGTGGCCGATTATAATCAGGAATGATTAAAAATGTTTTTTTTTTGTGTTCCACAAATTAAAGTAGTAAGTCTTCTGGTAAATGACAGAACAAGCTGCATTTTTTTCTTTCCATCTGTTAATAACAATATTGTTTATAATGCCAGTGGCAACAAACCAGATGTTAGCTGGAACAGTCTTGAGTGTTATTGATCATATAATAAAGGCTGTATGCTGCGTAGAACTGCTCATCTTTGCTGCAGCCACACGCTAACGAACCCCAGAGCTTCTGCATCAATGTGTTAACACCAGTCAACACTGTCAAGCGCTCGTTCACAAGCTCACACGTCTTTGGCCCGTTTATTGCTCCCTCTGCTCACTGCAAGACGCAACTCGGAGAGCGGTTAGGGACAAATTACGTCTCCGTAAAATAACACAGCCCTGTAAAATTTTGGCACATCTTATATTCTGTCGGCCTCACCCCGTGGTTTCATTGCCTCCTGCATAAATGTAGCGCCAAACACGTTTCCACTTGTAGCTCGATAATGAATTTTTGCATCCTGTCTCTCAGTCTGGAGGTAGCAACGTGTTTGGTACGGAAGCTTTTTGCATTAAACTAAAGTACACATTCACACTCATTTGGATTTTAGTCAGCATGCACATTGATTAAAAATGATAATAAAAAAATCAGACGTGTGCAAAAAGCTTCCTGTTTTTGTGCATTTTTAGTTAGATTTTTTTTTTTGTTTGCTTGATCCGTGCCCTTCCTCCTTGTGGTTTTGCCCCTCCCTTCCTACAGCCCCTTCAGCCCCCCCTCAGGAAGTACATCTGGTCAGCCTGAGCTCCACCAGCCTCAAGGTTAGTTGGGTGGCACCGCCAGCCGCTAGCCGCCACGGCGTCATTGTGCGCTACACGGTCAGCTACCAGGCCCTGGCTGGAGAGGACACGGAGCGGCATAGCGTGTCCGACATCAGTGCAGACGCCTCCAGCTATGTTCTGGAGGGCCTGGAGAAGTGGACTGAGTATGAGGTGTGGGTGAGGGCACACACAGATGTGGGTCCTGGCCCTGAGAGTGCCCCAGTGAGGATAAGAACTAAAGAAGATGGTAGGTGCACACCTCAAACTGTACTTACCTTGTTTTTTACTGGACCTTGCTACTATGTTCCTCCTCCTTCCCTTTTTACAGATCTATTTTACGCATCTTGATTATAAACTATGAGGCTGCAGTGCTAACTGACTGGGATCACCTTCTCCATCTTCCTCCTTTAATGTTTTTGTGAGCCTCGTCACTCCCAGGCTTCGGCTCTGTGTCACTTTCCTCTGCCGTCCCTGTTTTAATGCCTTTTTGTTATTATTTTTTTGGGATTATTATTATTTTCATGCATCAAGCAACAGAAATGGAACAGATCTTTCTTCTCCTTTCTACTGCTCTTCAATCTTTTCTCTTCTTGTTTGCAGTTCATTAGAGGGCGGATGCTCCTAAGAGAGAGTGGTCTATAATTAATATGTTTGAAGTTTGCTGCAACACGGTTCATTTCCTACTGGAATTAAGGCCATTCCAGACAGGACTAGACAGCATGCTGTTGCATTTGGGGTGTTTTGGGGGCACGGTTGTCTCTGTTCATCTGAAGTGAGTGGAAACAGTATGACTCAGCTCGAGAATCACTTTCCTCTACAAAATTCTTCTCAATAAGTTTTGGATCCCCATCAGTGAGCTGAGAAGGTTCTCTGCCTCAGCATATTTAGACTCTAAATTCTCTGTTCCTTTATCCTCACAGCCTCTTTCTGTCTTCTCATTTCTCTCTTTTTTTTTTTTTTTGCTCTGCCCTCCCTCGTTTGGTTTCTAGTGCCCGGAGCACCCCCCAGGAAGCTGGAGGTTGAGGCCATCAATTCCACAGCCATCCGAGTCACCTGGAAGCCACCTCTGCAGATGAAGCAGCACGGCCAAATCCGAGGCTACCAGGTCATCTATTCCCGACTGGAAAACGGAGAGCCAAGAGGCCAGCCAAACATCATGGATGTTGCTCTGCCAGAAGCGCAGGTAAACGACGAGGTCTTCCTCTTGTCCCGTTTTTCTCCGTCCCTCCTCTTCTGTCCAAACTGTCCTCTGCTGAACTTCTATTGTCATCTGAGTTCACACTTCCCTTTCTCCCATATGGGCTGAAACACACAGAGCTTTCTTTTCCTCGACTGCAGTATCCATCCTCCCTCTTATTTTTCTTAATCTTTTTTCACATGTGACATTTGACTCTAAAGTGGTACCCAGCTCCTACGGCTTTGGATTAGCTGTCGGAACAAAATCCACTTAAACTCAACAGTAAACGCTGTTAGATTTTTCTGTGCTACATCAGGATGTGGCTTAGCAAAATCAATGCAGCTCCTTTTTAACAGTAATACATATGCACTGCCTTGTTACCATGTTTATAAATTAGATGGGTTTTTTTACCCCCTGACACCGCCTTTTGCGCGTTAATGCGGCCTGCACCGAATTGCCCAAAGCTGCGCAACACCATGAGATGGATGAAAGATTGTAATCCTTAAGCGGGACTCGGAGATTCATGAATATCTTTAAACCAAGAAAGCCAAAGTCTCACGTTTTTCTCCCCCTTTCTGGGAGGAGAAACCAGCTTAATAACCTCCTCCTGGTTGTTTGCTAGGAGGAAACGTTGCAACAAACACGTAATCGCTCCCGCCCCTGGTCACCTTGGACAAAAGCATGTAATTTGAACAATCATGTGTTCACTGGCCACATGAACACTATCAGAAAAAAAATTACTCAGAGCACCCTCGCTTGTTTCTGAGAGGTTTTGTGCAAAAAACAACAGCAGGTTGGCGGTTCTAATCCTAGATAGCTGCTGTGTTTTTCATTAACTCTTGTTTGCTTTACCAAAAAACATTTGTTCTTAATATTAGTGTTGTTAAAGAAATTAAAATATGGTTAAAGGTAAACCACCAATATTTTTTATTTATCTGCAGTGGTCTCTGGTAGGAATGAATGCCTTGTAAGTCGTACTCTGTGGGGAAAAGCTCAGATGCTCCTGTTTGAGTCAGCTGGAGGAGAAAGTAGCTTCAGACGGCAAGATTTGGCTATTTATTTCCTGATATTTGGACATCTTGCCTCTGATTGGCTAACAGCAGTGTGGCTATACCACTGACTCTGTTTGCTCTGCAAAGATGATGTTTCATCTCCACAAATAACACAAGCTCTGCCATGTGGTGGAGTTGATAATGCTAACGGTTAGCTTCTACTAGCCGGGACACACTCTGTTGTTTCCTGGACGCTAAACCAACAATGGCCTTTCCCGCCGTGAGTCAAGATGGGTGAGTCCATGAAAGTTAAAGTTAAAGTCCCATTAGTCATCACACACTCTGGTGACCCAATCCAACCTCTGAGTTTAAAGCAGGGTGGCATTGGGTCTCATTTTTAAAGTTATGTGACCCAACTGGGATTTGAAGCTGGATCTCCCAGTCCCAGGGCGGAGACACTAGGCCACTGAGACAGTGAAGTGACAGAGTGACGTAGATCTGTCAGACTTTTCTGAACCAAGTGGTTGTCCATTCATTTTCTGTCAGAAGCAAATGCAGGAGATATTGGTAGGAAGACTGCTTACACGTCCAGCCTTCATGTAAAACTCAGTGGCTGATCGTTTTCTAAAATAATAAGTAATGAAAATGGTTTCTCAGTGAACTTGATCCTTAAATATTAGCACAACCCCAAATAACAGAAGTATGAAGGCGGAGGTGATGTTCTCAGACTTTTCTGGTTTATTCACAATAACAGAGAATTGAAAAACAAGCAATATGGAGGGTTGTGATCATGTGTTCAGTTCCTTTCACAGGAAATGTAGATTGTTAAAGGCATTATCAGTACATTAATGTAAACTAAGCTCTGAAGGAAAATGTATCACGAAGCTCTCATTGCAATAATGGAATAAAACCTAAGCACATAATTAAGGTATGAGTCTGTATGATGGACTTTTTGGAATAAACAATCTAAACATGCAGCATATTCACAAAAAGGCTCTTTTGGTTATTTCTCATCTAAACAATTTATCTTGTGTAATTTCAAAGCTATTAAAGAATAATTTATCCCTAATGTACCTTAGAGAATGGTATAAATAATCTCAATGCGTAACATTTTTATTATGGTTAGGAAATATCTTGGTTCGAGATATCCTAGATATTAGTTTTTTGTCATTACAAATGGTATTTGAACTTTTTTTGCACAAAAATGATCAAAGGAATTGATCTAAGTAATTTGTTTTTTACATTTTAAGATGAAAGCACCATTTGTAAGAATATAAAACTAATTTAGAAATGCAGATGGTGAAATTTGAAACGTTTGCAGGAACTTTTCCACTCCTGATTCAGTTGTTGATTTACATCTTTAGTGTGTTTTAAAGTTCTGCAGAAGTTGTTAAACATCTGCAAATTTAAATCAAAGTTGTTGGAACACAGAAACATCCACAGGATGGAGGATTTTGTACCTTTAATACCAGAAATAGAAACAATTGACCAGCTCTAAATCAATCTTCAATCAAAACAAGAAAATTAGCAGAAAGATTAGCTCAATGTCTCTTTGAGTCTATATGTAGGCCTTTGCTGCCCCATCATTCCAAGGCCTCCCCTCTAAGCCTGATCAAAGATCCCCCAAACACAGCAGCTGCCTGGCTGCTGCTGACACTCCGCTGTTGTCTGGCTGCGTTGGGAAGCGCCTGACAACGGGACAACAGCGTTTGGTCTGGAAAAGGAGGGAAAACATGTTGGTTGCCTGCTATCCTGGAAGTGCTTTCTTCATGTCGACACGTTCCGCATGATTTTGTTTTGAGTTGTGAAAACCAAACCGAACATGACCCCACTTGTTATGCAAACAATGCTCCCTGCCATGTCTCATTATAAACACAAAGACACACTGTAATTTGGGGCACGGTGTAGCTCCCATGTTCAAGTTCTGTGTCTGGGACATGGTTCAAGCACCCTACCCTCTCCCTGGCAGACCCTGGAATTTATCCTGTTACTTATTTTTTCTCACTACAGTCATCTTCTGCTAAGTTTCGATCCCCTTCCTTTCACCAGGGCCTCTTTTTACCCCCACCCTGTTTGAAAACGGGTTGAGTAATTACCAGAAGTTTTGCGTGCAGGTCGGTTACCCTTGGATGAGTCATCTCAACAGGTTGTTTTCTGTAAGACATCATTGAGTAGCCAACCTGCAAGGACCTGCCCAGACATCATTAGAGACCACACAGTCAGCCAACAGTCCCTCATGTGTCTTCGCCTGACTGGTTTTGGAACAATCCCTCCTTTTTCACACACTTTTCCATCCAGGTACCCAAAGAACAAGTGAAAACAACAACAATTAGCAAGCTCCAACGTGCTAACTGTGAAGATTAGCCTCGTCGCAGGCATTTTAGCTGGTCAAAGAGTTTGTGACTCATCTTGGAGTCATGCAGATCTCTCATACGCACGCCTGTAATTGATGATGAATATAGAAGAAAACAATTTTCCTCAGTGCTGGCTTGTCTCGGAGAATTTCCCTGAACAATTTCCCTAATGTGTTGTGAAATCAGCTCCACGGCTGCCCTTTCACCTGCATTGGATGCACAGTAAGCTGCCAGGAAGAAAAGCAAAATCCAAAATTTCCAGCTCTCTCACAACATACCACGACCTCACCTTAGACTTCAATCACAATTCTAAGCTGACGGATTGAATTGCAGATCCCGTCAAAGTCGCTATCGCCTTCCTCCCTTCCCTTTGTGTTGCTGGCTCCTTTTCAGCCTCTCTCAGGGTTAGCTCAAATGCAGGGAAGAGAGCTAGGAAAGCTCGTCTGTGCGTGGGCGCTTTAAGAGCTTCTTTTCTTTTCGAGCAGGAGCCCACACATCGCCCTCATTTTCCTGCTAAATTTAAACCAGAGGCCATGTTAACAGTGAGATGTTATCACCCCCTCTGCAGCCATGCTCCTGTTAGAAAAATGACCTAAACCTGCAGCTTCGCGCCACACACCCAGCTCCATCACTGCACCCTTACAGCTACGTCCAAGCTCGCTGTTAGATTTTTACACATCTGAAAAATGTGTGCAGAAAACAGTAATTTCAAGCCGCCATCCACCGCCTTTGCTTCTGCATATTCGGCCCGAGTTTGCATCCATTCAGCGCCGCTTTCCAAGTTCATTTGGTTTGACCACTCATGCATTTTTGTAGTTTATGCGAGCGAGGAGATGCTTTGCCACCTCTATGGCCTTCACCACCCCAGACTGGAGTTGAATGGAAATTGAATGAAAAAAAGGAGAAAAGAAGCACCTCAGCCCGTTTCACTCCATCAATCATGACAGCTCCTTCTCTTCCACATCACTCGTTCTCCCCCTCGTTCCCATTTTTATAGCCACACATCTCAGCCCATGTCATCACATTTGCATTCACCCGCCTGCAAATTATACCGCTCCGTTTCCACAAACGACGCTTATCAGCAATGATGTGTTTTCAGCTTGCGTTGGTATTCAAAACATAAATGGAGGATAATTTATAATTCTCCTGTAGATTTAAGCAGAAAGGAGTTGCAGTAGAAAGGGATTAAGCCCAAGATGAGATAGCAACTTATAAACCTGAAAGCGTTTGCCATTTTGTTGACACACTGAGCCGAATTGATGGTAAACAAATTAAGCAATTACGAACATCGCAAACTGTTAGTTGTGGAGTTAAGTGGCAGCTGTTCTCAAACGGTGCTTTTTATTTCCCCCCGCTATGTCAGGGGAGCACAAGGCTGCCGTTTTTGATGTGCCATGTGTTTCAGCGTGTCACAACTGGGAGCTCACAGAGGAAGAAGGGTGGAGAGTTTAGTGCTTTCCTCTTTTCATTTGGCAACAGTCAATTATGATTGGTGAGCAACGTTTCTGCAAAGCACAAGGACTCACAAGTGTGAGGGAGTGTGAAACTTTGCGCCTTTGCTTATGAAAGACCGGAGTCGCATGAAGGGAAAGTTTGATTAGCAGGAAGTTTGGCACGACTTCTAAGTTTTCGGCAAAGAGGCGTTGAAACTTTTTCAAAATATTCCAGTGCACCATTCCTCAAAATTTCCCACATCACAGCTGAGCTTCAGACGGCAGGTTCTGGAGTCTTAGTTCCTGATATGTGGGCATCTGGCCCTGGATTGGATAACGGCAGCACGACTCTACCATTGACTTGCATTGTAGATGCTTTATCTCCACAAATAACACAAGCCTGGAGGAGCTTCTGCTGTGTGGTGAAGTTGCTAATGCTAATGTTAGCTTAAACTAGTAGAGACGATCTTTGCTCTTTCCTGGATGCTAAACCAACAACAACCTTCCCCGTCGCAAAGGATGGGTCAGTCCATTAAAGTTAAGTGACAGTGTGACGTAGATCTGTCTGACTTTTCAAATCCAATAGTTTTACCGTCTATTTTCCGTCCGAAGCTAATGCAGGAGATAGGTGTAGGAGACTATTTTCATAATCAGCCTGCATGAAAAACATGATTTGATTTTCAGTCAACCACACCTTTAAGAAACACAATGATTTGGTTGTGTTTTTATTTAGTCGACCGTGACGCTTATCTCAATGAAGCTGATGGGAATATTTTCTGAAGCATTTCAGCTACAAAAACATTAGCTGGAAACATAGAAAAAGCAAATGGACATCCTGTACACCATTTAAATTAGTTTTTATATTCTTTTGCCATATAAAAAATCTGCTCACCTGTTTATTTTGGGCCATTGGTTTGAATGGGAGCCATCAGAACCTAATGGGTTATAATTTTAAAGGCTTGAAACTATTTATTTCCTTGTCAACACCCTTTATTTGGCTCTACAGTCCTTCCGTCACCTGCCTCTGTTCTCCATCACTTCCCCCAAATGCTCCACCAGCTCCTACTAGTTTCCATCACTTCCTCACCTCTCACCCCACCCTCTTCCTTCCTCTTTACTTTGTCCCCCGTCAGCGTCGTCAGTGTCACCCCTCCCGCCCCGTCCTCAGCCAGACCACCCATCAGTGAACTCCTCTGCAGCGACTGAAATGTGGAGCGCGTTGCCGGTGAACACCAGCCGTTGCGTTCTGCATCAGTGGGGTTTGGTGTCACAGGGCTAACACAGCGGCACTCGTAATAGGATTTCATGCTCGACGCTGACGGAGCCCCGCGGCACGAAATGGGCTTTCACTTCCCCCGGGAATTGCTTGGCCAAGCACAGCGAGCGGGGAGAACATTTTGGAAACATATATTGAAATGTAATGAATAAAAGGTCTTTCCTCCATTTCTGTTGGTAGGGAAACGAAATGCTCCGTAGGTTCTGCATAATTTATGTCCACAAACTGAGAGGCAGTTATACCTAATTTGTGGAAACAAGGCAGTTCATTATGAACAGGAATAAATACCCAAATAGTTTTGTCCCAGAGTTAATTTTGAAAGCTGCTCAACGTTTTTTGCCCCCACATTTCTTCCATCTCTTCCATCATAATGTGTGTTTTGTTTTCCTCCACAGCATGACTCTATTGACACCTACATTCATCTGTCAGAGAAAAAAAGACAAGTGCTTTTTTTCCTTGCCTGTTGTGTTGTTTCTGACTCATTTCTCTCCCCGCCCTGTGTCCTTTGTCTTCTCTCCCATCAGTGGAATATTGAAGAGTCCACCGAGCATGTGAGTAGTCCTCATGTGTGCTGCTGGGTTGTCTTGCAGGGCAGGTTCTTCTTCCCCTCTCTGCAGTTTGAGGGTGCCGTGGTTGCTTGTGTGTGCTTTGGATCATGAGTTGGTGTGTGTGTGTGTGTGTGTGTGTGTGTGTGTGTGTGTGTGTGTGTGTGCGTGCGTGCGTGCGTGTGTGTAAAAGCCGTGCCTGTAATCCACTTGCTGTGAATCCTCACGAAAGATCATAACCCTATCACAACCGCTGCAAGAAGCGCGTGTTTGCCTGGTTTTACATATTTGTGTGTTTGCATGATTTCATGCAAGAGCGTGAGTATTATTTCCCCTCAGGGTTGTGTTTAGGTCAACATTGTGCCATAAAGCAAAGTAGTAACAGCTGTGCACTTGCAAGTCTTAGGCCTGCACTACAGTGTGCATGGAGTACAGTCAAAGGCTGTGCGCCACAATCTCTGTGTGATGCTGACATTAATCAGGCTCGCCTAACCTGCTGTCTCCCCTGCGTTTCGAGATGACATGTCTATCTGAAGGGAGGAGCTGTGGGTTTTATCAGCTCCACACATCTCTGAGATTTCCACCAGCCTTTCATGTTCCTTTCATTTGCCTGGATGGCAGCTCGCTGCTCCGCGGCTGCCATGCAGCCCTTTTGTTATGGCTTATTACCTACTAGACGTCATATTGCAGAGCCATAAATGCAGAGCCACTTACTGTTCCAAGTCAGACGTGCAACAAAAGCTCGGCGTCGCTAACAAATTGGGTTTCAGCGTTCACACTATAGCGAGGAGATCTTTACTGCTTTAAAAGGAAACATATGAAAAAAATAATTAAGGGAATTCTTAGCCGCTGTTTCCTGACATTTACTATAGAAAACTGGATACTAACTCAACACATTAACCACCTGCGAAGGTTGAGGGAGGCTGGTTATTTATTTTTCTCCATCTGTTTATCTCCCAACTGTGGCGCGTCACCTCTTGTTGGTCTTTGATGCACCTGCAGGGATTCTTTTGGTGTCAAGAAACATTTGAATAGTCTTAAAGACGTGTGCTAGATATGTCGATCTGTTTGTTTTTGGTTGTGAAAAAAGCATCAAAGAGCTCAACTGAACCTCTTTCCGTTTCACTGTGTTTGACCTCATTTGTGCCACACCTTTAAGAGTCGGTGCAACCATCAATTCTCACGTCAAACGGGTGAAATTAAAAAAGCTTGAGTCGTTGTGTTTAGGCGGAGAGGCAGCTTGTTGAATTTCGTGCGATGGCTCTAATCAACAGAAACCTGGTAGTTCAGTAAGCAGCTGCAGCCACACACCGTGAGTCAGACTTGGCTCGTCTCCCTCTGCTTTTAATGCGTTAACACCTGACAGACATGGAGCGAGATGCCGTCAGAGGATGTCATCTTTTCACGCATCTTTATTATTTATTTTCTTTCCGCTTTTGCGTCCTGTTTGCCAGGTAGCTAATGTAGTGTGACAAGCCAGAGACAGATGTCTGCAGCACAAGCGTTAGCATGACCCGTGGCTTGTTCACATGGTGAAAGGTGTTTTTGAGTCTTCCTATGCAAAAGAAGGCTTATAGAAAACATTCAATATTGTGTGTTAGCGTTAAAAAAAGCAATTATGTGAGTTTTATCCATTTTCTCCTGACGTTTTCTACTTCACTGGCGATAGTGGTGGAACGAGCTTTGTAGAGAAGAATCCATTTCTGTAACTAGTCGGGTTGATAATCTTCCTAATGCCCTTTGGTGCTGCTCTAAGCATTTGCTCTGAAGGAAAACTTTGAAGCTTTTGCTTTTTCTATTTTGTGCTGAGTTTCAAAAGCGCTACTAGACCTGAATCGACCTTGGCAGCGCAGAGGGAGGGGGCCATCGCTGCAGCTGCCGTTGCTTGGATTGGTAAAGCCATTTTGTATGATTAAAGTAATGAGACTTCCACTATAAAGTTAAAATGGTTTTACTATACAGTCATTGAGCAGCTTTTCTTCTCTTCCTCCCCTCTCCCTTAAAGGTTAGCATGGGAGCGCTGAATGCCCCAAAAAGCATCTTTAAACAGCGCTTGCTGTTGGTATTGTTGAATGTCCGTTGGTGTTAAAGAGATGAAAAGGTTGTCAGTTAGAGAAACAAGAATAGAAATTAAATATGTACCATTCCAAGAGTTTTGGAAGGCAGGAAGTGTTGGAGGTGTCTGTTTTCGTCCTCTCCTGGTAAAAATTTGAGTTTTGAGCTCCAGGCTCTCATTTGTTCTTGAGTTTGTGCTCATTTCTGTCCATCCGCCTGGACGCTAATAATTGGTATTTATCGTACATTTTAATTTAAATGAAACAGGCAGTTCAGAGCAGAGCTCATCAGTTCTTAACACTTTACTTTTAGGGAGTTATTCTTGCTTGTCATTTTGATAAAAAGCAACAATTCTGAAAGTTATTTCAGACATCTGTTGCTTTTTAATTAATTTAATTTTTTTTACCTTGAAATTTCACTTTCAACTCATAAAAGCTTTCTGTGTAAAAGATACAAAACAAAAGGTGAACCATTCTCAGTAACTGCTTGAACAGCCTCTGAAGAAATAGTTTGCATTCAATGAGCTAATGGCTAGTGCAAGTATAGCAGTGTGTGTTGTTGCAGGTTTAAAACTATCAACATTTAATAGTGGTTCTTGTTATTGTATTAAACCTGTATATCGCAGCCTTATTCACATTATTAGGAATTTTTGCATACATATTATTAAGAAATGACAGAAAGACCTGACCTCAGAGTGCACCGGTTTTGGTGCATTCTGTTGCTGTTTATGATGTTCAAGCTTGAAAATGACAATGTAATTGAAAGCAAATGGTGGTAAGAAGGTTTAAAGATGATGTTGCATGGATCTGTTTTAAAAGGTTTTGGGTTGGGTTATTCAGACTAGCTGTTAGCTTGTCATTCCTGTTGGGCAATGTGTAAGAATAAAGTAAGATTTCTACTGGGAAATAACCCTAAAACAGTCTAATGACTCAGTCGTGTTAGAAGGAATACTATACTGAAACATATTTCATTCTTAGCGAGCTGGGGGTGGGGGGTGTCCGTTTTTGTCCTTTCAAAATAAAAGGGGGGATGTAGCTGCTGTTTACCATCAGTGAGTGTGAGGCTGCTGTGTCTCCTGCGAGCTAACATTGCAGCGCCAGCATTTGTAATTCCACTATGACCGGCAAATAGAACCAAAGCCAGCAACGAGTGACCCAAAAGTTATTTCTTGTACCCCTGAGAAGCCCTGACATATTTTCATTCTACTCAAATTTCGGGTAAAGAAGGCTAGAGGCTAACACTGAGCTAACAATGCTAACAGTGAATTAGAAGGAAATAGTCAGCTCTAAAAATATCTCAAGCTACTTTTTCAATTACCAACAACTTAAAACGGTGAAACGTGTGTATGAAGTGAATGATGAGTCTGTTGTGACGTTTTACTTCTTTAAATGAGTCGTTCAGAGTAATAACAGCAAGCTAACGGCAAGACTGCAAAAACACGTCCTCTAATGCCGGAGGCATATTACCATAATAAATGTAGTACTAGTAAGTGCTCCCTACCGTAAAACACCAAAAAGTGCTAGCACCAGATATGATGATGTATTTTTCTGCTTATCAGCTTACCGTGTATGACTCGTCTTTGCTTGTTATCTAGAATCTTCTGGTTCTGATCCCTAACTGGCAACAGCCATGAAACTCACAAAACAGGAGCGAGAGAGCAGTTGCAGTAAACAAATTAATGTCGCCTTACTTTATTCTTACACATTGCACATTTAAACATTATTTCTCCCATTTTATTTTGTTCAGAGATTTGCCTGCAAAAGGTAAGATAGTACTTATTTGTACATTTTTAAAGGAAACACTTCAAAGTTGTCAAAATATTCATTTAAATATAACTAAATAATTATTTAAATATAAAGAAAAAACAGTGTTTCCAAGTAAGCAACTTTTTAAAAATGAATCATCAGCCACGTTTTCCCTGGCCGCCTGTTGCAGACACATTTTTTGTCTCTGTATATTTGCAAAAATGACTTCATTTAACAGGCATTTCTTAGCATTTTGTATTAGGAAAAGTATCTAAAATCTTGGTACATCTATCCACTGAGTTTTTTTTTCTTATTCTCAAATATCGATAACGTGCTGTCGTTTTCTGGGAGCCAGAAACTCCTTCTTGTGTCCTCAAATTTTCAAGTTTCTTCCTTTTTCTTTTGATAAGGCCACAACATGCCAAGATATGCAGGTTTTCAGCTAAGAAGAGCAGATTATAAATTAGTAGAAAAGCACAAAATGTTCTGTGTTATAAGAAAAAGGTCACGTCTGCTTTTAAATATTCCAACATTTACTTAAGCGAAGCTAAACACAAAGAAATGAGGGATGATTTGAGATTTGTGCAAAGGACCATTTATGTCAGGAGTATTCACATGTTGTGTGTACGTGCGTGTGTGTTTATGCATGGGTTTTTTACATGCACAGAGTGTTTAATTCCAGCGTGTGGGTGTGTGTTTTTAATTCTGACTGGTGCAGACTGGTGAAGTGAGTGCCAGCCCTGCAGCAGGTTACCAATAACAGTGTGTTGTTTTTCTGTCTGTCTGTTCCTGACTGCTGAGTTACTGATATGTTCAACCACTCCAGTGTGCCAGTGTTTTTATTTACTCACCCTGTTAACCAGAGGAGAATAAATGCCAAAAACCCTTAATTTTTTTTTTCCATTCGTAAAGTAAATTTTTTTCTTTCTCAAGAATTATCTGTGAAGAATTTTAAGTCCCTCATCAAACAGTTTTTAATGAACTGCCGACTAGTGATGGTCCTCAGCTCCTCTGGGTTTAATCCTATGCTTATCCGAGCGACGGGCAGGAACACTGGCACACTGGTGATGTTCTGGTTCATTTGGTTTGTTGGTTAATGGGTGCAGAGTGTGCCTCGCAGCTGGGAGTAGGAGTTTCTCTTGTCCAAGAAAAACTCCTCATCCGGTTTTGCCTTCAGAATCACTTTCTGTTAAATATTTCAAATGTTTTAGGGAAACAGTAAAAATAACCTCAAGCGGGTGGAGAAAGGGGTTTAAGTGTTTTTTTTGTTGTTTTTTTTTGGGGGTGTTCTTTCAGAAGGTGGGAACTGCTTAAGGGTTTTCTTTCCGACCTCTAGGAAGGTTTGGTTTATTGTCTGACTTTGGTGTTTTTACTGTTTTACAGGAAGCTGTCATTGGTGGACTGCATTCTGAAACCACCTACTCTGTCACTGTGGCAGCGTACACCACGAAGGGGGATGGCGCTCGTAGCAAAGCTAAAGTCATCACTACAACTGGAGCAGGTCAGAGGTGGTTTTACGAAGGTTCACTACTATCGTTGCAGCCGTGTGTGGGTTCACTATCCACAGAGCGGTCTTTGGAACGTGGAGAGTCAGAACAAAAGATGTTACTCTGTCACCACTTGTGGTCTATTTAGTACTTTTGATGGATATAAGCGAAGATATTCCCAATTTGTAATCTAGGGATTATTTATTCTTCTGAAGATTTGTGCTGTGTGCAAATAGCTGCATTTTTTTTAAATGGAAATAAAATATTCAGAAAAATTGAAGTTATTCCTTCTTCTAATTGTTTTTAGTGCCAGGCAAGCCCACTATGATGATCAACCCCACCTCGAGCAACACGGCGCTGATCCAGTGGCAGTCGCCTACGGAGATGGTGGGTGAGTTAATGGGCTTCCAGCTGCAGTACAAGCGCACTGACGAGCAGGTGTACACCTCACGCGAGATGAAAAAAACAGACGACCATTACACCGTCACCGGTCTGCACAAAGGTGCTACCTACGTCTTCCGCCTCAGTGCTCGTAACCGCGCCGGCATCGGCGAGGCCTACGTAAAGGAGGTCAGCACCGCCGAAGACAAGCCTTCGGGATTTCCGCTCAACCTCAAAGTGACTGGACTGACCCAGTCAAGTACCAAGCTGACCTGGGAGCCCCCGCTGCTGTCGGAGAGGAATGGAAAGATCGTGCACTACTTGGTGGTGTACAGGGACATAAACAATCAGCAAGACAACACCAGCCGCACCACCAACACCGACATGACTATCGAAGGCCTCAGTCCCGACACCACTTACGACATACGTGTCCAGGCTTTCACCAGCATGGGAGGGGGACCCCTCAGCCCCAGCATCCAGAGCAGGACCATGTCAAACGGTAGGACAAGTGAGCAGGCATCGAACTCGATATTATCATCTAATCATTAACTATAATCACTAACCAGTGTCTTAAGTGTTGGTTGGGTCTCTGTTGGAGTCACTTCTGTCTCCTCTTCTTCTCACAGCATATCACTGCACTGTTTATTGATTTATAGTGGGCTAATCTCATTACACGCTACAGTCACATTACCACGTGTCCTCACCCTCCATCCCATTACGCACACATCTAACCCTGCATGTGTCTCCTTGATGCACTTTAAGATCCTATAAACGTAAGGTGTCTTATTAATCATAATGATGGACCCATATTTAGGGCACAGGTTGGCACTGGTACTTGGTAATTTAAGATAGTGGTTCCCAACCCGAGGGGTCTGCTAGAGATCTTTGGATGTGATGCAGCAACCTGAACCCTCAAACTGGGATGCAAAGGCAGCAGCAACACGTCTGTGTTCATGCACCAATTTGAAACAGGCTTCGGGAGGAAATTCCTGGTGATTTTTGTGCAAAAAACTGAAAACCCCGGTTGGGAACCATTTATCAAAAGGCTTCTTATGTCTTGCTAATGTAGTGCATTATATGGGATCCATAATCAAGCATGAATTAGATTGTCTTTGTTTTGTTTTTTTTAGATCTGCATGATTTGTGCTAAAATGTAAATCATGACCCAGATCATGATTGAAATGATTCTCTCTTCTCTCATTGTTGCATGCAAGGAAGCAAATATGTGAGGTCTGATCTGTGCAGATGGAAATTAAGCAATAAAGACGTTTAAAAGCAGCTTTGATTGGACCTTTTATTACGTGGAAAGCACTGAATGTTAATAATTGTAAAATAATTAGAGCGCATGTACATTTTTGCTTTTCTCAACCAAGAATAGCAGGCTGTTGTTTGGATTTCATTGAGAACTAACATCTATCCGTCTTCTCCACCTGCTTGTTTCTGGGAAAACTAACAGCATGTTCTGAAAACTCTCCGACCTAAAACACGTTCCATGCATGCCGACCTCTTTCCCCTGGATGTTGTTGCTCGTGCTCCAGTCATTCGTGCGGTTCTGTGTGAGCGTTAAGAACCTAAGCTGAAGTGTATATAAAGTCTTAAGTAAGCATCTGGTGGGTTATAACTGTTTACAGTTTTCCAACTATAAATATGTGTTACCTCACAGTGCTGTGAGTCTGCAACAATGCTAAAACAATGCTTGCAGATAATGAGACCTTGAGCACCATTGTCAGAAAAAGTTCCACTCAGTAGGGGGGCTGAAAATAGTTGTTTGTTGTTGCCAAGTTTCCACATTGGTTTTAAAATCTTCCATCTTTTTAGTTTGCCTTGTCTTTTGGGGGTGCTTGTGGGTTTTTAGGTATTATTTTAGCGTTTTGTCACATGACTGACTGAAGATCTGTAAATGTCCAACAGAGAAGTGATAGTTTAATCTCTTGCTAATATCTAGCTTGAATAATAGTCAGGTCATGTGACTGTGATATTTTTATCTTTATTGAATTGAAAAGTAAGCCACTGACTGCTGCATGAACTAAACGTGAGAGTACCAGAGATCAGTTGTGAGATTATGATTTCGGCTTTGATTCGATTTTATGATCTTCTTTTAAAACAACATGGCGAGTCGATCAGTGGTTTACACATATACTAAGTTTGTATTACATCATATGTCATATTAAGTCAATTGTTTTTCTCCCGTTCTAGATTTTCCGACACTTAATTTTGGTGTCAAAGCGGTCATGAAAACTTCTGTCCTCCTCACCTGGGACTTACCAGAAAACTACAAATCCCAGACACTTTTTAAGGTAAGTTCTGAATAATCAGAAAAATATTCCACTTGACAGGTGAAACTCAAACAGTTAGAATATGGTGCAAAAGTAAATTTATTTCAATAATTTAATCTAGACTGAGAGACCATCTAAAGGCTGGTGAACCTTTTGCATGTATTTCTGATTAATTAGCTGATTGAGCCTAATTTAAACTTCCTCGTCTGCGCCGAGGCCACTTATCTAAACTACGAGACAGAGAATGCAAACTCGTGATTGGCCAGGACGCTGCCTTTAAATTCATCAACAGCACCATCATTACCCCCCAGAAAATCAAAAAGAGTGCCAAAGATATCTAGCTGCAGACCCGGAGCAGCTTGAGTAACACCTCTGGGAAAAACTCTAAAAATATGAACATATATGAGGGACAGCAGTAGCACAGGAGGTACAGCTGGTTGTCAAGTAATCGGAAGGTTGCAGGTTCGATCCCGGCTCCAACAAGATAATTAGAGAATGCTGCTGTTGTGTCCTTGGGCAAGACACTTAACCCGCCTTGCCTGCTGCTGGTGGTCGGAGGGACCGCCTCTGTCAGTGTGCCCCAGGGCAGCTGTGGCTACATCGTAGCTCATCCCCACCAGCGTGTGAATGGGTGAATGACTGGTTGTGTTGTGAAGCGCCTTGGGGGGTTGTAGAACCCTAAGCAGGCACTATTCAAATACAGGCCATTTACCATTTATTCTCCAGTGACTGGAGAAGTATTAAGATACACAGCAAACGTTTTATTCATGGAAAATAGAGGTGATAAGTGCATGAAGAGGTGGAGAAGCGTGAGGGACAAATTCATCCATGTTAAAAAGTCTCTGATATGCAAAAATCACATTATAAACACAATAGAAAAGGCACTATCCTGGACCGGATATGGTGGCGGGGTGAAAACGCCCCCAACAATCCGTCAACACGACTCAACACTTGCGCTGACAGAGAAGTAGAAATCAGACTTTAGAGTGTGGCACTTTGAGTCTAGACCTTTTCATAATATTCTAACTGTCTGATATTTTGAATTTCAGGTTTTCATCAGCTGTAAGCCATAATCATAACAATTACAAATGAGTCTTTCTCATATTAGTTTCACCTTTAAGGTTGAATTACTGAAATAAATACACTTTTTAGGGACCTTGGAGGGGGTGCTGGAAAGCGCTCCTTGCGGGTGACTCCGTCATTCTGCTGGGGGACTTTAACGCTCACGTGGGCAACGACAGTGAGACCTGGAGAGGTGTGGTTGGGAGGAACGGCCCCCCTGATCTGAATTTGAGTGGTGTTTTGTTATTGGACTTCTGTGCCAGTCATGGATTGTCCATAATGAACACCATGTTCAGACATAAAGGTGTCTATACGTGCTCTTGGCACCAGGATACCTTAGGCCGCAGCTCGATGATCGACGTTGTTGTTGTTTCGTCTGATCTGCAGCCACATGTCTTGGACACTCGGGTGAAGAGAGGGGCGGAGCTGTCAACTGACCACTACCTGGTGGTGAGTTGGCTCAGATGGTGGAGGAGGATGCCAGTCAGACCAGGCAGGCCCAAACTTATCGCGAGGGTCTGCTGAGAACGTCTGGCAGAGTCGGTGAGGAAGCAGAGTCTGGGGACTTTGAGTTGGCCTCTCAAATCTCTGGTGCTGAGGTCACTGAGGTGGTTAAAAAGCTCCTCTGTGGCAAGGCTCCAGGGGTGGATGAGATCTGCCCGGAGTTCCTTAAGGCTCTGGATGTTGTGGGGCTGTGTTGGCTGGCACGGCTCTGCAATATTGCATGGACATTGGGGCAGTCCCACTGGACTGGCAGACCGGGGTGGTGGTCCTCTTATTTAAAAAGGGGGACTTCAGGGTGTGTTCCAACTACAGGGGATCACACTCCTGAGCCTTCCTGGTAAGGTCTATTCAGGGGTTCTGGAGAGGAGGGTCCGTCGGATTGTTGAACCTCAGATTCAGGAGGAGCAATGTGGTTTTCGTCCTGGCCGTGGAACACTGAACCAGCTCTTTATCCTTAGGGGGATCCTGGAGGGTGCGTGGGAATCTGCTCAACCAGTCTACATGTGTTTTGTGGATTTGGAGAAGGTGTTTTACTGTGTCCCTCAGGGGGCCCTTTGGGGGGTACTCTGGGAGTATGGGGTACCAGGCCCTCTGATATGGGCTGTTAGGTCCCTGTATGACCGGTGTCAGAGCGTGGTCCGCATTGCCGGCAGTAAGTCGGGCTCGTTCCCAGTGAGAGTTGGACTCCGCCAAGGCTGCCCTTTGTCACCGATTCTGTTCATAACCTTTATGGACAGGATTTCTAGGCGCAGCCGAGGTGTGGAGGGCATCCGTTTTGGTGGCCTGAGGATCAGGTTTCTGCTTTTTGCAGATGATGTGGTCCTTTTGGCTTCATCAGAAAGTGATCTTCAGCTTTCGCTGGAGCAGTTCACAGCCGAGTGTGAAGCAGCTGGGATGAGAATCAGCTCCTCTAAATCTGAGACCATAGTCTTGATTCGGAAAAGGGTAGAAGGCCTTCTCCAGGTCAGGGATGAGGTCCTGCTCCAAGTGGAGGAGTTTAAGTATCTCTGGGTCTTGTTCACGAGTGAGGGAAAACTGGAGCGTGAGATCGATAGGCGGATTGGTGCTGCATCTGCAGTGATGCGGGCGTTGTACCGGTCTGTCGTGGTGAATAGAGAGCTGAGTCAGAAGGCGAAGCTCTCGATTTACCGGTCGATCTACGTTCCTACCCTCACCTATGGTCATGAGCTTTGGGTAGTGACCGAAAGAACGAGATCACGGATACAAGCGGCCGAAATGAGTTTTCTCTGAAGAGTGGCTGGGCTCTCCCTTAGAGATAGGGTGAGAAGCGGGAGGGGCTCGGAGTAGACCCGCTGCTCTTTCACATTGAGAGGAGCCAGTTGAGGTGGCTCGGGCATCTGGTCAGGATGCCTCCTGGACACCTCCTTGGTGAGGTTTTCCAGGCACGTCCAACCGGGAGGAGACCTAAAGGTAGACCCAGGACACGGTAGAGGGACTATGTCTCTCACCTGGCCAGGGAACGCCTTGGGATTCCCCCGGAGGAGCTGGCCCAAGTGGCTGGGGAGTGGGAAGTCTGGGCCTCTCGCCTTAGGCTACTGCCCCCCCGTGACCCGACTCCGGATAAGCGGATGAAGATGGATGGATGGATGGATGGAAATACACTTTGCATATTCTAATTTTTCTTTATTCCACCTGTAGTTGCATACAGTATGACACTTTTATCGTCACAGTAATTAGGCTTTAGACGCAGCTCTAGAACGGTGCACAGTCTGTTACTTTTTGAGATCTTTTAGCTGACTTCATGTTGCCATCGTTGAGAAACTGGGCCTGGGTGAAGCTGATGGTGAATTTGAAATCAACTTTCCAAATACTGTGATTAATGTGTTAATTTATGATTTATAAAAATAAAAAAAGACTCTGTTGCATTTTCTTAAAACTAATGAAATCACCATTTAAAAAATACTTTACGTTATATTTTTTTTACCTTGAAATTTGTTTGCTGTCATTTAGGTGTGAAAAAAAACATTTTTAAATCACTGAATATACAGCTTTACTAAAATACCACAACTAGTTTTAAAGGAGTTCTGAAGAATGATGTGTCTGTAGCTGTGTTTGTACCACTTCCTGAGTTCCTCCTGCTGTGTTCTTACAGATTTTGTACAACCAGCAAAGTGTTGAAGTGGATGGGAGCCAGAAGAGGAAGTTGATCACTCAGCTGCAGCCAGACACCAATTACTCGTTTGTACTGACGAGCAGGGGCAACATCGCTGGAGGTCTGCAGCAACAGGTGTCCATCCGCACCGCCCCTGACCTCATCAAAACCAAACCGGGGACGCAGGCTCATGGTGGAAAGCTGACCATCACACTGCCCACAGTCCAGACCACCAGTCGGGTCAGGTTAGTGCCGTCAACCTAAAATAAAAACAATAAATAAATAAGCAAGAATCCCTTAAAAAACTAGGATGTATATATATATATATATATATATTTTTTTTATGTCTTCCAGTAAAAATTTAGACTGTTTTTGCATAAAAAATGTCATAAAGGTGGGCTCGATCCACTGAAAGAGCCACTTGATGTTAAACATAATGCGGTTTTTGGCTGAAATCTGAACAGCCGTTGTAGCGTCAACAGAAGGCCAAAGAGTGGCCGATCAATGCCGAAGCCCTTTACTAAAGCTTTAACCGTGGCATTTACTCTCTGCCGTCTTTATTACACAAGAGCTGATAACAAGTGAGGCTTAACATCAGGTTGAGCTATTTTATCTTTTGACGCATATTGTTACGAGCAGGGTCGCAGGTAAAGCCTTTCCTGCAGGCGCACAAGCACGGAGACGCGTCCACGTTGGAGGAGTCTCACTGCTGATTGGTGAAAAGATCACAGGGCTGTCAGGGTCCAGCACAGAGTGACAGGAGGCGAGTGAGGGTGATTTGGGTTGGAAGAGTTGAGAGGTGTGTGTGTGTTGTCTTGTTATACACGTCTTCTCCCACTCTGAGACATGAGTGACTGTTGAATCTCGTATCCGATGCCCGGAAAGAGGAGGAGAGAGGCGGCAGCTTTCACTGTCAGCAGCAGCTCGTTTTACAAACTGCCGCAGTGGAGAGGAAAAGTCTTAACTGTGCAAAAGCAATCAGGCTTGACAGCATGAGAGACAAACACACACACACACACACACACACACTCGTGTTGGGTGCTCATCCAGGCGTTACCTAACCTCCCTGGTTTGACCCGTCATTCCTAAATGTCTTTTCTAGAGTCTTTAATATCCTTCTGTTTTGGTATTTATTAAAAAAAGCACACCCACGGCTACTCCTCACACGCCTGCTCTTATTAACCTTAGGAATCCTGTGGGGATTTCTATTAGCTGAAGGCTCCCCTCTCAGGGATAGAGTTGGTTCCACTCTGCGTGGCAGATGTTCTTAGTGATTAGCCATTAATTGGAGAATGCAGTGCCAATCTGCTGGCGTTCGACCTTGGTCAAACCCGCTTGTGTAGCCCTCAGTGTTTGAAATCAACCCAACGATCCTCACAGCGAAAGCATGTCTTTCGTGTTATTAATCCTCCTGGTCCACTTGTATCTATTTTACCTGTTGTTTGTTTACACTGGCTTTGTTTTCTTTTTTTTCTTCCTCTTGGCAGGTGGTACTACATTGTGGTGGTGCCGCAGACTTCGACAACACCACGGTGGAACAATCCAGACGAGATGGACCTGGATGAGGTGAGTGCCAGGCGGCGGCTGGTTTGCTAATGTGCCAGGTCAGAGGTCACAGAAAGCATTTTCGCTTCCAACTGGGTGGGGAGTCGGTGATGGTAGCTAATTAGCTCTAACCTCCTGGGTTCAGGGAGGAAGAGAGAGATTTTAAAGAATGACTCACTCAGGTAGGTGGGGAGCATCCTGACTGGATGCCAGGGCTGCAAGCAGTGGCCATCTGTTGAATCAAACAGTTCACATCCTCAGAGGATTGCATTGATGTTGTGTAGCAATCCTGGAGATTAACTTTGCAGAGTTCTCTTTTTAAAAGCGAGTTTACAAATCGCTTCTGTGCCTTTACCACGTAAAGGTCTGCATCATTCAAACGTGGGAAAAATAACCAGGGCTGGCTTACTATTTTCCTGGATAATGGTCCCTTTTGTTCGGGAGGAAATTTAAACTAAATGGCATACCTAAATATTAATAGCAGGGGTTTTAAGTAAAGTACGAGGCTTGTTGATTTGAATCACTATTGTTTAAGCTCCCAGTAGAAATAACAGAGGAGAGAGATGGGAGTCCCTGAGTCATTAAACACTGAGCAGGCCATTGTCTCCTCCCTCCAACATAATGATTTAATAAAGCTACATCTGGAGCGGTGCACGAGACATCGCTGGCAGAAAACAAAACGCTGCTGAAAACACGCTGCCGCAGTAGCATGTGCTCCTGCTCATTTATTACCCAGGCTGGCAGCCACGCTGACACTGTGTGCAGGAGCGAGTGCTAATTGCTCACTCCTTAGCTTGGCTGCATTGTTTGTGGTTGTGTCGCTGTGCAAAGGGCATTTTAGCTCTGCGGAACCGTCATCTCCGATGGCCAGACCAGGACCTTTTTGTGAGATTCTGGACTGTTTATGTTTATTGTTGCTAATTTTGAGTCTTTTTCCCCAGCTGCTAAGGTCCAGCGACGGTCCAGTTCTGAGGCGCAGACGTCACCTGGATTCCGTCAAGGCGTACATCGCGGCCAAACTGCCTTCCCTGAATAAAACTTTCACCCTGGGCGACGAGAAGAGGTACAACGGCTTCTTCAACAGGCCCCTGATCAATCAGCAGGCCTACCTCTGCTTCGTGCTGGCAGTGCTTCAGAACGAGGGGACGGACAGCGCAACTAATTACGTAAGACACACACACACACACACACACACACACACACACACACACACACACACTTTTTCCATTTGGTACTTACCACACAAAATAAACTCTTTCAGAAATAAACACCAGATATTTCCTTAATTAAACCAAACTTCCCTGAGCTTATTCTTTCTATTTTCAACAGCATTTTTAAACTCAAAACCCAACAATATTTACACTAAAGCAACGCAGTGAGACTCGTGAGCCTTTTACCTTTCAAGCCTGGAGCAAAACACACACCCCATTAACATTTTACGCACCTGCATGCTCTTGGAATAGTTCTAAATATTGATAAACCTAAACCAACGTCAGAGTTTCGTATTGAAAGCAGAAGATTGAATCTTTCATATATTTAAAAAGATAAACACAAATTCTAGCCTCAAGAGACTGGCAGATAAAATATTTTAGTGGACAAGTTTAAAGGGATACTTTGCAACTTAAATCATTTTCTTCAGCTAGTATGTGCAAAAATGACCCTTTACAGACCCCCACTGCCCCCTGTGGTCACAATACCACACTTGCAACTTCAGAGTGGCCAGTTTGTTCCCTGTTTTACTTAGTAAAGTGGAGCTGACATGCCTACCACTGCAGTCTGCTGCCAGCAAGTTCCCTGCGTGTTTTAGCTTGTGAACACAGCTGATTTGTTTCATTTAGAGATGAACTGCTCCTGTTGACACTTATGAAGGCTGAGGAGACATTTCAGCTGTTAGATTAGGTGTTAAAAAAGATGAACGCACAGCAAGGAGATAAGTTTCACTTTTACTAATAGACACTAAGGCAGGGGTGGGGAACCCTGGTCCATCGAGGGCTGCAATCCAGCATATCTTAGGCCCTGTCCACACGTAGCCGGGGATCTGCCAAAACGTAGATATTTTTCTACGTTTTGGCCTGTCATCCACACGAAAACAGAGTTTTTTCCACACAAAAACGGATCTTTTTAAAAACTCCGGCCAAAGTGAAGATCTGCGTTTTCTCCGTTTTGGGTGTCTGCGTGTGGACAGACAAAACCGGAGTTTTAAGGTCCGCAACGTCACTTTCCGCGACAAAAAAATGCTGACATCACGTCTGCGACCTGTGTTTACACTAGCCGACAGCATGGATGCCCTCAGAGCTGCGCTCGCTTTATCCATTGTCCAAGCGCTTTTTGCTTGTTTGTTTTTGCAAGTGGAATTACTGCTCCTTGCGGAAGACTATAGGCGAAGGTTAAGAACGGGGGAAGTACTGCCGCCTACAGGTCTGGCATGTCCTTAACAACGTATTTATCCCGGTACGTGTGGACAGAGTTTTTTTTTTTTAACGAGGTGGTGTGGATGCAAGTTTTTGGAGGGGTGGATATTCGTTTTTAAAAAAAAACGGCTACGTGTGGACTAGGCCTTAGTTTCAACCCTGCTTCAACACACCTGATTTCAATCAGCAGGTGATTAACAGGCTTATTCAGAGCTTGATGAACTGCAGCACAGGGGATTCAACCACTGAATCAGAAGTGTTGGAGCAATGACGTGCAGGATACCGGCCCTCGAGGGCCAGGGTTCCCCACACCTGCACTAAGAGGTGCTAAAAGCAAGCCCACACTACTCCATATTCCTTTAAGTTTCAAAGAAAACCCATACATTTTGAAGGGTTAGGTGTATCACCCATGCTTTAACTCCAACCAGTCTTCCCTAAAGCTTTTTTTTTTCTTCTTTACACTTTAATGCAGTGACCTCTAAAAATACTCACTGCTTGTCCTGATAACTCCTTTACCAGCTGACAAACGACATCAGAGGTCCAGCTCTGCCATTTCTGCAGCCAGCAGGGGGCCCACGTAGATGTCTTAACAATGCTAATACAAGTCTGGGCTCTTAAGTGGAGGCACTGTGCACTTGTCAAGCAGCACTAACATGAAGGCCCATCTCTCTGTGGGACGGTCTGGGCTAAACTTCATTGCAGGAGGAATGAGAGTCTGGGATTGCTCTGGGCTCCTCCACTACCCGGGACATGCATATTCAATAGCTGGGCTGTGGGCAGCCACAAAGGGGGGGGGGGGGAAGAACTTGTGCTCCGTGTCTGAAACCAAATCCTAGACTTTTCACCTGCTTCTTTCCCTTTACTCCTTCCTTTGAGCTCTTTCCTTTTTTCCTGCTTCTCCACACGGCAGTCTCTCTCCTTCTCCACATCTCTCTTCAGCATGAAGACAGCAGAGGAGATTGATTAGTGCGGCTGGAGTTAAGAAGGAGACGAGGGCCCAGTCGCAGGACCAAGAGAGTCTGTAAAGCAGGCTTGATTCCCTTGAAATGCTACTTTACATGCCCCCAAAGCCCCTCCTCCCGCCAGTAATCCTCCTCTCCTCCAGTCTAAGAAGGGGATGGACGTGCAAAGGAGGCTGTACTGGGCAGCTATGATATAGTTGACTTCAAAGGAGATGCTCAAATCCCATCGCTGCACAAGACTCTCACCGTACCTGCAGGGCACACGGCGTTATATCAGCAGGGCTCAGAGTTTGTTTCTGTCTGTGTACTTCCTGTTCTAAAACCGCATAACTAACACTAATCAGATTTAACATCAATGACTTTACTTCAAAGGCCAAGTTCACTGAGAAACAGTTATTTCTTTTTTTTTTTCTTTTTTTTTTTGTATGATCGATCACTCTGAGTTTAACATGGAGGGTAATTGTGAAAATAACCTACCCCTTTGTCAAGTTAGCATTAATGGATTCACCCATTTAGGCTCACGACGGTCAAGGATGTTGTCGATTTAGCGTCCAGAAGACAGCAGAGAATGTGTCGGCTAGTAGAAGCTAACCGTTAGCGTTAGCAACTCCACAACATGGCAGAACTCCCTCAGAATTGTGTTATTTGTGGAGATAAAACATCAATGTTACAAAGCAATTGGAGTCAGTAGTAGAGTGGCGTTGCTGTTAGCCAATCAGAGGCGAGATGTTAGAATATCAGGAAATAAGACTTCAAATCGTGTTGTCTGAGAGTCACCTCTGTTCTGGCTAACTTCTACTCCCTAAAACAAGAGCACCAAAGCTTTTATCCACTGGAGATTGACTCATTTATACTAGAGACCACTGCAAATGTCATGAAAAACAAGTGAACTTGGTCTTTAACATTAGTAGTCTGCTTCATGAGATTTTTCTACATTATTTTTCATAATTTTCATGCAAATCAAATGCCTTCTTTCTCCAAACATCAGAATGTCTTCTATGCTTATGTGCACATCAAAAACTGTGCAAATAATGCTGTCTGTTTACCAGATGCCATCCAAATGAGTTAAACCAACACCTTTAATTATGGCATGCATTTAACCCTTTAGCTTGATATATTGTACAGTTTTAAGAATCTACATGAAATGGCAAGCTTTGACCTGCAGCATGGATACAAAAAAAGGTGCGTCCTTTGATAAATATCTAACTTTATTCAACATTTACAAACACACTTTTTGGATATTTCTCAATTTCACAAAACACGTTCCCCCCATGACAGTATTTTACAGCACCATGGCTGCACAATAGTTTAAAGAAAAGTATGAGTGCACAGTTAGTAAGAACATTAATCTAATGTTAAAATAAAGTTGCTGCAGGGATTAAAGGGAAAATTAGCACCTGATTGTGGCTATAACTCAAACTGAGAAACATAATCTCATTAAATTGATGTTTGGGGTTCTGGAAATGTTTGTTTTCAGAAAAAAAAACTTTTTTGTATTTATTTTCATGTGAAAATTTAATCCTGCTGCAGCATCACTCCCTAGAAACCTATTGTTCTTGGTTTGAGATGCAGTTAGAGATCATCTGCATGCGTTTAAGATTTGTGCCTCACAAACTAAAACACCTCGATCTTGTTTCTCCCAGCATTGTTTTGTTTTTAGTTAATTTAACACACCCAACCGTTGGTTGCTTCTAGCTTGCTGTCATGGATTGCCACCTAAACCCTTTAACCGCACTCTTTGGGAAACTAAGATACCACAGCAGCATTTGTTTTTTGTCACCCCCTCGCTGCAGTCACAAGTGTTTATTACCAAACATGCCGGTACAGAAGGTAAAGTGTGCAGCAGCATCGTGTGGTTGACAGAAGCCGCCGCGAGCAGGATCTTCACCAGACCCAGGAGAATAAAACAACAAGTACTGGAATAAATGACTTGTGTCTTTACTAGCCGTCCTTACCACCAAACCAAACTCCCCAAGTGTAGCGCAAACACGACCGCCAGGGTTTAATAAGCCCTCGTATATCCAAGCAGCCGGCAGTGGTTGAAGGGAAGAAGAAAAGGAAGGGTGGCAAAAGGGGAATAGGAGAAAGAAAGGGAAGGAGAACGCGCCTTCATGTCTCCCAAGCACCCACGGCAGATAAACAAGCCGGAGGACGTGTGAAATGGGATGATAGATGCTGGGTGTGTATAAACAGTATCATTTAATGCAAAAAGAGAGTGAGGGAGGGAGGTAGCATGCAACGCTCTGTGATGCGAAGCAGAGAGGAGGGGTGGTGTTGGAGAGGAAGAAAGAGGATAGCTTGTTTTATGCCTCGTGTCCAGTCCAGCCTGTGAAGCTTAGATGAGACAAAGTGAGCTGGTAGCAGAGGACGAGTTGTATTAATGTGTTCTTTTCTTATGATAAGATGAGCTTTTGGCTACGAGAACCAAACCATGGTCACCATCCAGGCTTTTACATGCTCCTCGTTCATTTTAGGAGTGTCCTTTGTTGCAATAATTCTGTTGCTCTGGGCTTAAAACACTCATAAATGTTAAAAACTGCCTTCTTTTTGAATTTGAAAGGCTTTGACAGACACCATCAAGAGGGAATTATGAAAACAATATGCTTGTTGTTGGATTTGAGTCCTGTTGGGGAGCTTTAACAGATTCTTGTCCAACTTTTCAAGGATAGTGTGGATGCAGGCGGTCAGCGTTCAGCTGTTCTGTGTCACATCCTCACCCAGAGGCGTCTCCCTCCAGCAACGCCTCCAGTTATCTGGATGTTTTTGATTTATTTATGAGGGGCAAGCACAAAGGAACACTCAGAGTTACTAAGGCTGTGTCCAATCTAGTAAACATGCATGTACACGGATCAAACAAATCATTACACATACAAATACCAACCTGAATGTTGTGGCAGAACAAAGGATGAGCTTCCAACTGCAGCACAGCAAGCACTGAACTATGACTCAGCTCCAAAAATGTATTTAGAAGATGCCCAAGCAGACCCAAACCGACGAGGCTCAATCTTGATACTCACAAGACACAAAAAATCTGAGAACTAGCGTGAAATACTTATCAATCATGCAATCCAGTAACTGGGCTGTGATTGTTGTGACAGAAATGCATCGTAACGTAAGTCACGGGGCCTCGCTCTCTGGTTTTTAAAGGATTGAAAGTTTTCTTTTTGGATATTTTCAGAGTTGTCACTAATATCTGGAATCTTTCAGAAATCTAGGTGTAAAATAAATAATAGATGAAGAAACATCCATCCATTTTTGTCCGTTTATCCGGGGTCGGGTCGGGGGAGCAGTAGCCCAGACTTTCTGCTTCCTGGCCACTTGGACCAGCTCCTCTAGGGGAGTCCCTCGGCATTCCCTGGCCAGAAGAGAAACCATAGTTCCTTCAGTGTGTCCTGGGTCTCCCTTTAGGTCTTATCCAAATTTGTAGATTTGTAGATTTTGTTGTTTCCTCATCGGCTTAAAATCAAGTCAGACTTCCTCAGTCAGTAAGTATCACAGGCAGCGAATTTTCACAAGCTGCAGAGGCTGTTCAGATCTCATCAATGATGTGTAACAAGGGTCAAAAAGGCAAAGCTCAATACCTTAACGTTATCTACACTCGTCATCCGTACTTAAAAGCTTAGGGATTGCTCAGAAAGCAGTTCACCCACTCCTCTTCAGAAACAGAAACACAGTAATTCAGTTATAAGAGACCTACTAATGTTCCTCACTGTCTGACTCACACATTCCTTCACAGCGCCACCGCTTCTTTGTGATACTGCACTGGGAGAGCAGAAGCATTATTAGCTGCGTGACTGAGCTTTTATCAGATATTAGGGCCGTTCAAATGGATGATCCCACTACGCCGCCGTGACCAACAGACAAAAAGCCCTCTCTTTTTGTTCAGACCTCTCCCTGCTCTTCCTCTCTTATCCGTCTCTGAAAGCACAGCTGCAGTTGTTTGTTACCGCATTTGAAAAAAAGGGGGAACCTTTTCCCAGGATTCCCTGCAGGGCTATGTCCCTAAGCTGCTTTCGGGCCCTCCAGAAAGAACAGGAAGCCTCGCGGTGTCGTCACACTCGCGGCGTCCCACAGCGGTGCCGCTTCCCTTTGCTCTTAGATAATAGGTTCCTCCCAGAGGCGCAGCAAACTCATCTCACAGTGTGCATTTGCGTGTGTGAGGAGAGAAAGAACTGATAAATGAAAAAGGATGCTGCAAACTACCGCTGTTATATGAAAATGTGAATCTCTTCCCTTTCCTGCTTGAGTTATCTGGTGCTGCTGCCTAATATCAGTGCACGCTGGTTTGCACGTACACGATTGAGACATGCTGTAACACGCACACACCCATAATGCAAATTTTTCCGGCAGTTGCCCAAGAGTATGAGAGATAGCAGAACTATATGACAGAGCGCAGGACTCTTTGAGCTCATCTCGGCTTATCTTTCCAATTAATATCTGCCTGTGTGCCAAAGAGCAGGCTGCTGTGCAGCTAATGATGCGGATTACTGCTGCCTGCTGCCCCGCCACTCCTGCTGCATGCTGGGAGCCCAATTCCCTTCGAGGTCTGCGATCTGTCACCTATACCCCTCCGCACACCCCATTCCTTTCCCCTACCTGCGCATCCAATCAGCTTCGATAGGTGGCATGCTGAGCTCTAATGACAGATGCGGCACACCTCCTCTTCCCTCATCTGTCAGCTAGCTCTCTGCACTTATTCTCCTTCTTTGTCAGACAATTTTTTTAAACACCGTGCTGCATTGCTTTGTCAACTCCTTCCTCAAAAAAATAATAAAACACTCACACACACCTAGATGCCACCCCACCAGCCCTCCCCCTCCATCATTTAGAGACGATAAGTGGGAAGATGTCTCATTTACAACCAAGGTGGAAACACACCCTCACCATCATCTCTCCGTTCCCCTCCTCCTCCTCCTCCGTCATGGTGTGAACACTAATGAAGAAGAGATGAGTCCTCGTCTGTGCCCCCATTTATCTCGGCGAACCGAGGGACACGCACACTTATCCCCACCCTCCATCTTTAGCTCTCTTTTCTCACGCTTGCTCTGTCATCAGCCATCTCCATTTCCCCAAACAAAAATGCTCCAATAGGAAAAAATAATAACACCGTTGTTTGCCATGATGGTTGTTGTTGAAAAGATATAATCATTTTTGAGTTTGGTGTATTGTTCTGGCTTGTCCTGCTCCCTTGGGAACCCAGACTGCGTTAAGAAACTTTGCATTTATTATTTATTTTTGATCTTCACCACTATTTACCCTCTCCTTTTCCCTCACAGATGACCTTTTCAGCCAGCCCCTACTCGGAACGGATCCAGATCTCAACAAACCTGCCACAGGGAATGGATCAGCCCGAGATGTTGTGGGTCATGGGTCCGGTGTTGGCAGTGATCGTCATCATCATCATCGTCATCGCCATCCTTCTCTTTAAAAAGTACGAGGCCTCGCGCTTGTTTGTGTCTCGCGTTTCCGTTTGTTTGAGGTTAAACTGTGGTGGCACCGTCGACTGCAGGTTTCTTCTGGTTGCGTCAGGAATGGTAATGAGACGCTCGCCTGCTCACAACCCAAACAGCAACATCAACTTTCCGTAGCATAGTATACGGCATGGTCGAGAGAGAGAGAGAGAGAGACTAAGCGATTGATTTGTGTCTCAGACAGAATGATTTTGGCCCAGCTGCCTGTTGTCAACAATGCTGTGTGAAGTGTCAGTAGAATTGGCAGCTGACATCACCGCGCTAATAAAATCACAGCTTGGCTGTCAAACGCTCTTAGATAGGAGTGAAAAATGTGTTTTGGCTACACCATTGGTCATTTCGAATCAGAAACAGAAGGCTGCAGCAGAGGGCTTAGCTAAAAGCTCAGTCAATATCTCCTTAAAGCACTTGAGCTGGCATTGTGCGCCAACATTACAAACGAAAGCAACAAGATGCTCTGGAGGATCCGACCAATGAGGATCAAAACAATCAAGTCTTAATTGCATCATAGCGAATAATCTGAAGTCAGATTATTTACTCATGAAAATGTGACAAATATTTAAATTATGGTACACATTCAACAGTTTGAAACAAATTAAATTGGCGCTCTCCAGCTACAATACTTAGATCCTCCATTAGAGGGCAGAAAACAAGATGAGTTTCAAAACAGCGGTGGAAGGTACCAGTCCTGCTAAAGCTGTAGAGTCTTTAGGAGTGTACAGATAGGCATAGCAGATATGATATATTTGGAATTGTGAAGTTAAAGAGCAAGTCACTCCCCTACCAGAGTCTTACTTCTCCCACCCTTCCTGTTAGATGAATGCTGGTGAAGGTTCTTAGTTTTCCAAGTCATGATAATCCAAAGAGGTTTGAATGAAGGCAACTGGACTTCTTTGGTTTCATGAAGATGCTCTGCAGTCCACCTACACCTGAAGAACAAGAGAAACTCCTTTGAAGATTACAAATTACACATTCTGGACAGAGTAGATAGATGGTTTGAGATAGGAGTAAAGGAATCTACCTATGTCAAATGGGAAAAACCTACATTAAACAGAGGAGGAGGACTCGGGTTCCACCTTTCCAGCACCTAGAATTTCAGTCAAGGTTACTCCCTCCTGCATTTAATCAAAACAACCATTCCCACACAATAGAGCCTAATGACTTGAGAGGATGGGGTATTCGTAGGTAGTTTCAGCTCATTAAGAAACAATAGGCAGCTAGAGCTTATAAGCCTGACCCTCCCATATTCCTGTCAGAATTGGCGAACCTCTTAGAATGAAAAGCTAAACATCTTCAAGAAACTAAAGACGTCCAGTTGCCTTCATTTGAACCTTTTGGATTACCGTTTGACAAATGTGCCAAACGGAGGAATTGCCTGGGGGTCAAGAGGGCGGCGTTGTGGCAGCGGCTAACAGCAGCCACCTCAGAAATAATGGTTAACGTAGACGATACCAGCTCAGACAATAGCGATGGCTGATCCACATTAAAATGTTAAAGAGGGCACCACACTAATGGTTTCAGGCAATATATTTATGTTTTAAATAACCTGCACTAAAATGACAAAGTGTTATGGTAAATGGCGTGTATTTGATATAGCGCCTTCTAGAGTCCTGTAACCCCCCCAAGGCGCTTTACAACACAATGAGTCATTCGCCCATTCACACACACATTCACACCCTAATGACTACACATGTCAGCTGCACTATTAGTAGCTTATTTATACTGTTTATCAGCTGTTGATCTGGGGTGACTTGCTCTTTAAAGTTTGTAAACTAATTCCATGAAGTTTAGGTCCAGTTTCCTTGTGACGGTGACTTTAACAAAACTAAATGTATGCATTTTTAAATTATTACAAAGAAATGAGTGTTTGTCAACGGAGGAACATGATTCAAATTAAAATTTGGACATTTTAAAAATCCCGTTTAAACCAGAATCTACTACCTGCAAAGCGTTATTTACTCGTGCTGACTTCCTCCTGATTAAGTCCCACATCCTATCTTGTCCTGGCGGCTCCATTACAGATTCCCCGTTTTACATCATACCTGTTCTCCAACCTGCCATCCACAGCATGTGCAGCTGCTGTCTCCAGCAGACTTAAAAAGCCACTGGTTAATAATAGGCCTGGAGACAGCTCACTGCTGAGTAGCACATCCTCCGTCTGGAAGTCCTTTCTCTCTGTAGATACAGATTGACAGAAAGGACTGTGGGGAGGTGGCTGTGTCCTTTTCACTGTGCACTGCCAGTAAATGTGCATAGAAATAATCACACTGTAGCTCTGGTTGTTATTGCTACCTGCAGAGTCACCAAGACCAGCTCCAGCAGCGAATAATGATGAAACCATTCTCTAAAGCCTGCAGCAGTTTTTAGGGTGATTTTTTTTTTTATTCAGCGCTTTCAACTTTTGGGCTGAGATTTTTAGTGTTCTGAAAATGGTCAAAGGTTAGGACAAAATATGTACATATGAAAACGGAGATCTTTAAAAAGATGGGTTGGTAGCTATTACACATTAACCCCTCCCCCTTTTATCTCTCTTTGCTCCTGCGATTGCAGCAAACAGGAAAGGTGGGTACCGCCAACAGCGATCGACTTCATGCACCCAACTCCTCATCCGTGTTGTAAAATTGGTGTTCACAAGTTCTTTAGGGTTGCAGAGTTAGCTTTGCTTTTATTGACGATGCAACCTAAAAGAGACCTTAAACTGTGAGGTGTTTTTAAACCGCTGTCTCCTCCGATTTGGTAAAATCAAAGAAAGCGTCCGACTCTGCAGCCCTTGTTGACTGAGGCCAGGGGAACTCCCGGGTCATGTCCGTGTGCATGTTCCACATCTAGTGCCAGTGTTCCTTTCTCAGATTGTCCTGTCTGCCATGGTTTGTCTCCATGCTGTGTTTCATTATCCAGCTAGTGACAGTGCACCCCTTTAAGATTGGCCCCATTTGAATATGCCAAGGCATCACCTGCTGCTGAATGGGCCATTGTGAAGTAAATGCCAGACGGGAAACTGCTCAAAAAGACGTGTTCCCATCTTTTCAGCTGACATTTTCCACCGAGACTCATCCCTCCACTTTTAGCCTTTTTTGCTCTCCTTTTGCTGCTTTTTCGTGGCAGAAGTCCTAACAAAGGGCCTGTTCTACCCTCATTAGGGGACAACCTGTGCTGCACGCGGAAACACTGCCGTTTGTGTGTGTGTTCTCACACATCTCCACCCTCACTTTGAGCCAGAGACTAATAACCCCACATGGTTTTCTGTCATGTTTACTTTAGACCAGCACCAAAGCATCACTTAGATCGGCGTCTGATTGGGTCAGAGGGATATGTGAGAGGTGTAGAGAACAGATCTCAGATGCCAAACCCCCTCCCTCAGCTTAACCCGGACCCACTAGTGATCTTTGGGAAAACTGGATACGGTCTGGCTCAGCTCTCGGCTGGAGGGGAAGAGATGCTTGTTAAAGATTAGCCGTCATACCGCACGTATTAGCTTAAGCCCCTGCAGCAGAAGATAACAGGTGGCGGTGAGGCCAGTGCTCCGGCAGCTGAGGGCGGACCAGGTTAACGCTGTGTGTGCACCACCAGCTTTGTGTATTCTCACCACGACATGCCTCGACAGAAGGCCCTGCTCCTTCTTAAAGCCGTGCTCACCACTTGCAAATGGAGTGCAATGAGATGTGAAATTTCCACAAGGCGCCCTGATGCTTCTTTCTGCCTACTTCCATTTGCTGTCAGGAGGTTTGTGCATGTGTGTGTGCGTGTGTGGACAAAAGCTGGCTGGCTGAAAACAAGCAGGCTGCGTTTTTTGGTTACTTTCTTTGCCCGATGGACGAACCCACGGTCGACTGAGCTGAGCCAGTCCAAGCTGCGCCGTTCCGTTCTGTGCTATGCTAGTCCTAAGCTAGGCTAGTCCCGGCCCGGCAGCACAGGTGCTGCAGAACTGCTCTAATTATCCAGTGTTTTGCCACCCAGCTGATGAGCTAATTAGAGCAGCCGCCTGTTTTCCTCTCAATCTGGAAAGCCAGTAAACACAATGTGCTGTTAGTGTACACACACACACGTAGCAGCAGCGGCGAGAAACACACATTTTTAAATCTTTGCAAATACACACTCGTGTTCCCACACAGCAGCTGTCAGCGATCCAGCAACAAACCCAACCTAGCCCACTTCAGCTAAATTATAGTGTCTTCAAACAGATTAAATTCAAGTTTTTTTTTTCCCGAATGAGCGGGGACGAGGTCCTCGTGCCGACTGTCTCTAGGATTTCTGGTCCTCACAACTGATTTTGAGAGCTATTAAATGTGCCATTAACCTTATCAAGTGTGAGAATGAGTCAAAGTGTGTGCAGGTAGAGTAATAATTGATGCCTTCTTAAATCATCCTGTCATTTCTACTTTCAGTTTGCTTGCAGAACCAGTGACTAAGTTAGAGCTCATTCAGATGCCATCGGTGTGATTTAATTAATCGTTTTTTCTGCCGCCACAGAAAACGAGCTTCACCTTTACCAAAGGATGAGCACTCGGGTGGTGTGAAAGACTCCTTGTTGGCCAACTCCTCTGACCCGGTGGAGATGAGAAGACTCAACTATCAGACTCCAGGTAATAAATCACGGTCTTACAATCGTATTGGCACCAATGTAAAGTTTGTTATTAAAGCTTGCTTTGCTTTTCAACATGAAAGGAAAGCAAATGATTTTATGATGGATGATGGAGATGGTGCACCAATCCTTGAGAATGTATTTAGTACAGGATTCTGCGACTTCCAAGGCTGAAGGTTTGTGTTGCAGGTGTGCAGCACGAGCCTGTTCACCAGATTGGGACTATAAGTTAAATCTTAAAGAGCGAGTAACACCCAAATTTACTTTTTTTTTTTTTTTTTACTGATAACCTGTAGAGATGTGTGTCTAATAGTGCTGTAGACATGTGTAATCGTTAGTGTGGCAGTTTGATGTTTCAGCTCAAAACTGTAATTATAAACCATAATTATATCTCCATCTTCAGGTTAAAACTCTGCTCCACATTTATCTAGAATCAGCTGTGGCTGATGGCCAAGCTGAAAAACGTGACGTTGTCAGGAAATTATTAAGTGGCTGCACTGCACTGGTCTCCAGGTGAGGCAGCTGCACCTTCACTAGGCTCAACCACTCACCTGCCGATTTGGCATGTTGGCTCTCGGAGCCGCTCGCCTCCTTGAAAAAAAAAAAGCCCTCTTCCCCTTTTCATCTAATGATCACGATTATCAGGAAATCCTCCAGAATGCTGCAGAATCTGTGTCTGCTCTTCTCCTGAGCGGTAAGTCTACAATGAGTGCGTGCTTGCGGGCATGCGCGAGTGCACACTCACTCGTTAACAACTCGTTTTTAGACGGAATCTCCGACAGCGCACGTGGGGGCGGGTCCAGTACTGTCTCAGTGCTGCTCTCTCGGTCTGCCAGGCGACGCCTCTTTCAGAAGCGTTTTCTTAACAGGAAGTGCGGATGAAATACGTCTCCACCCATGACTTTACTCCCACTTTAAAGAGCAAATAGCAGGTAAAAAAAAAATTTCTATTTCATGTAAAATGCTGTCCAAAAATACTATTTGAAATGCTGATTGTGGATGTTTCGTTTAAAAATACATAACTGCACAGTTTTTCTAGTAAAAACTATCCTTTCTCAGCAAAGCTTCTAAAAAGGCTCTTTTTTTCTAAATCTGAACCTCTGACCTAACCTAAGGGAGTTAGAAGCTAGGCGCTGCCTCAGCTCAGTGTGGAGAGTGGGTAGTTTTAGGGTAGAGGTCATGTTATCCAGTCAGTGTGTGTGTTTACTAGTTTTGGATTGTGTTCATTTTGATAAACTATAGTTTGTGAAGGCTGTACCAACTCCAGCCTGTCCGGACATCGAGTCCACGGGTTTCCAGATAAGAGAAACGACACCTCTATCTCCGTGTCTGAGGGCGTTTTGTGCAGCTGAAAAGACGGGACTTCTGTAGCCCGCATTGGTCGGTACCGGGGCAGGGAGGTCCGCGCTAGGCTCCGGAGACGCGTGGAGGGGTTTAAAATTTTAAATGTGGATTTCTGGAACTCAGATCAACATCAGAACCAGGCCTGAACCGGCCACAAGAAGAGCAGCTCAGCTGGCCAGCTGGTTTCCGGGTCGGAACCGAATCAGAACCGCCTGGACCACCAGGAGAGGATGCACAGCTTTTAAAAATACCAGCTTGACTGGCTCACTGGTGTCTGGGGCTGATCCAGCTCACAGAAGCCCGCATGAGCTCCAGAACAGGATGACAGGCGTCTCTCTCCCTCTCTCTAAGAGTTAAACTACGTTACGTGAACGGATATTAACGAGTATGAGACCGCTGACAAACACTCATTAGTATTACAATTATATTAACTGACCGATACTATTTTAACTGTCTGGTACACGATAGTAATCTGTACAATATTGTGATGCTAGCACACGAGTTTAAGCTAACATCGTTATCTTACCTGCTGCTCCCCCGCTGCTCTCCTCAATCTCTCTGCTTTGGCCGATGGTTTCTCCCTCTGGTTTGTCTCTGCTCTCTGGGGTGAGCAGCAAACTCATAACTTTATGGTTTTGTCCATCATAGGTAGAATTATAAACATTTAAAGTTTCCTCTGTGTCAGAGCCGGCATTAGAATCCATATTTTTCTCTGGATTAAGCTAAAAGGACTCCCTCAGCTGACATCACTTGGTTTGGCAAAAAATAAATAAATTCTCACAAAAATGACTCTAAAAGCCTAAATAATTTATGTTTGTGTAAAAAAAAAGTTTAAAACGAGTTTCTGTTATGTTTCTCTAAACATTGGTTCATGGGAGTCGCTAACCTGCAATTTGCTCTTTAAATGGGAACTTAGCCATTTTGGCATGCTTTTAGCGCCCCCTAGTTCTAATTCACTGACAGAACAAACGAAAGTTAAACTCTTCTTTGCTGAGCATTTATGTTTTTAACACCTTAATCTAACTGCTGAAATGTCTCCTCAGCCTTCATTCGTTTCTACAGGACTGATTCATCACCAAATCAGCTGTGAAAACATGGAGGAATCGCATTTCTGAGCTCTCATGATTCAGAAAACTCCCGATGTTGACTCTTGACTCCTATCGTGGTGGGACGTTCATTTATTTTTTTTAGCTTTATCTGATAAATATTTTTCTTTCACTGTTCTGAGGCTCCACCATGATAAACATGTCACAATAAAGGCTAACCAGGTGTAGCTCGTCTGTTTGGGAGGCTGAAGTTGCAAACTGGTTATCCTGCTCACAAGGGGCAGAGGGGGCTGAGTGGCATTTCATTCACCCTGTAAACTGGCTCAAGAAAATAATTTAAAAATATGATAGAGATGCTTAGTATGTATTTAATAGTTCTGCATGACAGCCAGAACAAATATGTTACTGTAAAGTGCTTGAAACTATTTAAAGTGATTAAATTTTATTTTGGTATTTTAAAGATCCAATGATGTCTACATTCAAGAGACGAGAGTTTTGTTTTGAGAATGTAAATTCTCTTTGTGCACTTGCAAATCATCACCAAAATAAAAAGCTCAGAAAGACGTAAAAAATCACCTTGAAAGTGTTTAAAGAATGCTTTAATTGGAAGTTGGAAAAAGAGCACTAAAATGAGCCAGAGATGACTTTAATCTGAGCAAAAGGCCTAGATTACTCGGAAAATCAAAGTAAATACCAAAACATGTTAACATGGTATCAGCCTCATACTTGACAAGGTCGGTAGCTTTTATTCATAATGAAAATGAAGAGAAACATTTCCTTGTTAAATAATGAAAGAAATCATATACCGGGTAGTTCCAAATTTCTGGATTTTCTCGGATTTCTTCATAGCCAGCCCTCTCAGACTCTGAGAAACTGTCTGTTTCTGCCTCAGATGGATTTCTTGGGTTAATTGAGGCATTAGTGGATTCTCTATTTCCTGTTTATTGTGGTTTGTAGCTGTTGTAGCAGGATGATTTGTCCCACTTGCTTCGTCTTTTATCTGGAGGCCGTTAATCTGACATTTCAAAATAGCGACAAAAAAGGCCAGTGAGTGCATCAAAATTAACTTTTTTGCTTGACATACCTTTATCAATGGAGTCAATTATGTTGCACGCGCGCGCACACACACACGCACACACACACACACACACACACACACACAGCAGTGAAGTTAGTGGGTGGATGTGAGGAAGGTGAGGAAGGACTTGTATAAAGGGTGCCCACCTCAGCATCAGCCTTCTTCCTATTTCCTCCTCCCCTGGTCCTCTCCTCCCTCCATGAACTGCTTTGATTCCTCCCCCCCCCCCCTCCCCCCCCCCCCAGCTGGTAATGAGTCCTGCTGCCTCTGATGTCAAGGTGAGCTGGGCCAAGGGAACAATGGAGCTGAGAGAAAATGTCAGCCCTGGTGCACGCGAGAGTATGTGCACGCGCATTTTTTTTTCCTCATGTGTATCCCTATCCCTTCTCACGGGTTATTAAAGATCCCATTTGCCATACACACACACATGCACAAACACACACACACACAACCCTTTGAACTCCTGCAGCGGAATTAAGCAGTGCTGCTGCTCTGAAAGAGCCTGTTTCTGCCATCCTCCCACTCCACCTCTTTGGGCTTTTGTCTTCCATTTCCCCCCGTAGGGTAATCTCTTTTCTTTCCTCTCATTCTCCCTCCCTCCCTCTCTCTCCCTCTTTCTTTCTGTACGTCAACACTTATTTCCTTCCATTTCTCCCTTACCACCTCTCTGTTTTGCTTCAAGTGTGGTGATTATCGGAAATCACAGAGGCTCCGTCTGGATCGTGAAATCGTATGCGACTCCGCGCCTGAGCTGGGTGACTATTGAGCAGCCCGTTCCTTTATCCTCCTGCTCTGCCTTTAATTCTTCCCCAGCAGGTGAACATTCCTGCTCTGATTCTGATTGTTGATGAGTCATCTAAGCAACAGCAGCTCATGTCTCCAACAGTTTTCTTTTCTTTTTGACATGTCTGCCATGCCTTTAAGGACTCTAGCAGAAGAAGTGCAGTTGGACGACTTGCTGACATGTAATCAAATCCAGATATGACCAGAAAAACACATTTTTGATCAGCATGGTCATAAGCACATGAATCCCAACACTGAGACGTCGAGTTGAGCCACTTATTTGAACTTACCCCACCTTTTAAGGCTTGTTTTTTTAAATCTGTCCCCTTTTGTGTTTATGGATCAAAAATCTTTGCATTTGTATTTTTCATTTAATGAGGAAATTATCATTACAACAGCTAAACTCCTGCCTCTTAAATGACATTGTGCAACTAACAAACAAATGAGATGATCTGCTGCTTCCGCTCCTGTTTGTGGATAAATCATAAGTTCATGTTAATATAATAATGATCGTGTCTTCATATAGACAAAAATAGTTATTTCCCCAAGTTGGGGTTTAAATTATAGATGAAGTGCAACTGTTCTAGTATAAAATATAGATTTGATGGCATATTTACAACTTTTAGATGGATTATTGAGTTTTTAAAGAGTCATATGAACTACCGCAATTTCCGGACTATAGAGCGCACCTCAATATAAGCCGCACCAACAAAAAAAAAGGTTTTCTACATACACACGCCGCACTCAAATACAAGCCGTGGCGCAGCAGCCACATGCAGGTCTGTGGCAGCTATAAGCAAACAGTTTACTCACCTGGCCGCTCCTGAACATTCACTACCACAAACTCCTTCAAGCCCAACCATCTCAGGCCCTACTGCTTCATTTTCCTCTTTTTCCCGTCTCACCTAGAACTGTGTGTCCAAGCTTCTCACGTGCAGCCGCCCTACTACATGCCCACTCTCAAGCATGCTCAGGTTAAGCCACTGCTAAAAAAAAAAACATCTCTTCCTCCAAATCATGTGGAGAACTACCGACCTATCTCTCTCCTCCCTTTTCTGTCCAAAATTATTGAAAGGGTGGCTTTCAAGCAGATCACAGAATACCTCTCTCAAAACTGTCTGCTTGACCCTTACCAATCTGGGTTCAAAAAGGGCCACTTCACTGAGACTGCTCTGTTAGCAGTAACTGAATCCTTAAAAGAAGCTAGAGCAACAGGCAAATCCTCAGTGCTTATCCTGCTCAACTTATAGGCAGGATTTGACACTGTCAGCCATGGCTTCCTTTTGTCCACACTCTCTAGCATGGGCATCACAGAGAAAGCACACGCCTGGTTTGAATCGTACCTCACAGGACGATCATTCAGTGTATCTTGGCTTGGACAATCCTCTACCGTGCACCATCTTGCCACAGGAGTCCCTCAGGGCTCAGTACTAGGACCTCTTCTCTTTGCCATATACACCACCTCACTGGGTGAGATCATTCATCACATGGCTTCTCCTACCACTGCTATGCAGACGACACCCAGCTCTATCTGTCATTTCCACCGGATAACCACACTGTCTCTGCACGAATATCAAACTGTCTCTCTGACAAATCAAAATGGATGAAATCCCACCATCTCCAAGTCAACCTCTCTAAAACTGAACTACTTGTCATCCCAGCAAAACCATCCATACAGCACAATGTCTCAATCCAAAACGACTTAATATCTCTGGCTCCTTCAAAGGCAGTTCGAAATCTGGGTGTTGTGATTGATGAACACCTGACCTTTAAAGATCATGTTGCCTCTGTTGCTCGTTCATGCCGCTTTGCGCTGTATAACATACGAAAGATCAGACCATACCTAACACAACATGCCACCCAGCTGCTGGTGCAATCTACTGTCATCTCCTGCCTCGATTACCGCAATGCCCTTCTAACTGGTCTTCCGGCCTGTACTGCGAGACCTCTTCAAATGGTCCAGAACTCAGCGGCACGTCTGGTCTTCAATCAGCCAAAAAGAGCACACGTCACCCCTCTGTTCATTGAGCTCCACTGGCTACCACTAGCAGCACGCATCAAATTCAAATTGCTAACACTAGCATACAAAGTCCGAGATGGTACGGCTCCCATCTACCTGAATCCTCTTGCAAAGGCTTATGTCCCGGCCCAGCCGCTCCGGTCATCACAGGATCGTCGGCTAGCAGTGCCTACACCACGCTCAGGACAATCCAGACTTTTCTCATGCATCGTTCCACAATTGTGGAATGACCTTCCAAGCACTACCAGAACTGCTGCTTCCTTTTCAATTTTCAAGAAACTCCTGAAGACCCTGCTCTTCAGAGAGCATCTTCTTAACTAGCACCCTGCCTGCACCCGTCCCCCCTCTCTACTGTCCACTACTTGTTCCCTCACTTGTTTTTACATGAAACTCTTAATAAGATTGCAGGTCAAGACTTTTCCACTTTGTGGGACTTCATGCAGGCTGAACATTAAATAGTCTCCTACATGTATCTCCTGCATTAGTTTCTGACAGTGAAACTCTAGGATTTGAAAGTCCTGACAGATCTATGTCACACTGTCCCTTAATATTTATGGACTCACCCATCTTGACTCACGATGGGTAGGGCTGTTGGTTTAGCGTTTAGGAATCAGCAGAGAACGTCTCAGCTAGTGGAAGCTAACTGTTAGCATTAGCAAGACCATCACTCAACAAACCCTTTTTGCCTTGTGTTATTTCTGGAAATAAATTAACAACGTTGCAGAGAAAACTGAGTCAGTGGTAGAGTTGCGTTGCTGTTAGCCAATCAGAAGTGAGAAGTCCAAAAATCAGAAAGTAAGACTCAAAATCCTAAATAAATGAGTGAACCACACCTTTAAAGAAAATGTGAGTTAGATCATCAGCCCAATTTTTGAGTTCATCAACCTACCTGGATTTCATGTTTCATCACAAATAAGCAACACAATTAGTGAAACGAAACGGCACTTTCCTATAGGTACAACCTGCAGCTCCCTTCAGTCATTAGTCTAGGGCACTGGGTTTACTCTCGCAGCCACTAGAGAGCTTTTTTAGGTTAAGCTTTTCATGCACTTTTGTTTAGCTGTCCAAATTGCACAACACGAATCTTCCTGAGAGGGTCAACACTATCTGCTGTTCGCTTTTAACTAGCTTGAAAGGTTATTTGCAGATGCTGCTTGGCCCTAGTGTGATCCTTAGCCACCTCTATTGATTGAGTGTTTTTCTTCCTCCCTCCTTTACTCTCCTCTCTCAACAGGTCCCAGCTCTCATCGCTGCCCCAACACTCCAAGTTAGTTTCTTTTCTCATCTACTGCATACTTCCCACACATGCAGCCTTTCTTCTTCACTTCTTCTTCGCTCCTGAACCCATTCCCGTTGCAATCCTGACAGACGTCACAAGCTTACAAGCTTGTAGCCTCTGGCATTCCAAGGATGCAATGGCCTTCCTCTGGCTGTGAACTTCCCACAGCACCTGTATGCAGAAGCAGAGGACTTCATGGCTTTATGGATAGTTACACTTCTCGTACATTAGCTTTGTTATCTATGGCTTCACCCTCCATTTAACCAAAAATCTAGCTGTAAAAGTCCTGCACAAATACACACATACACACACACAATGATGGTAATGTGTTTGGTGGCCCCTCTGTGTGATAGGATAAAATTTGCTGTAATTGGTCAGGCCTCATCATGTAAAGTGGTCATGGTTATCAGCCATTAGCCATTAGCATTAAAGCAATAATAAGCTTGCAAAGGTTCTCACCTGAAAACACGGCCCTTGACCCCGTAGACACACTCGGGGACATATGCTAATGCTAATATGCAGTAAAGACCTTCTTTAATGCTCTGAACTTTGTGACTTCAAGGGCGTTCAGTGTGTAAGGTTAACGATGCTCCATCTTTAACTTTATTGGTTCTACATGCATTGCATACAGTTAACTTTCCACACGCAGAGCAAGTTCCCAGGATCCCGTTTGCCAAGTTCAGAAAAGCAGGGTGAATTTGTGTCAGTAGATTAGCAATAAATCATCCCATAACCCGGCGATGAGGAATCCAAGGAGCGGCGGGGGGGTTGTTTGAAATTAAACCAGCCCAAGCACTCCCGACACGGCCGATATAAGAAAGAAATGAGTTTTGGCTCTAGTGAAGAGTCGATTTTTTTCTCTGGGTACAAAGTGACTTTGCACCAGATTTGTGGGTCCTTGCTCCTTTTTCACCTCTACCACCAACTGAGCACAGCGGAGTTTGAGAGATGTCTGCCTCATGCTTCCTTGAAGGAGCATGTTCACTGAGTCACTCATGCACATCTCAGTCCCAGCCTCACCTTTGTCCTCACTTAGCATGACGGTATCACCAAATGTCACCAGCCTGTGTGAGCGTGTGCGCTCTGTATTCCTGTCTCTCCCTCTCCTCATGCATTGTTGAAGAACATGCATCTCCTACACCGTTCCACAGCCACCTCATTGGTCCCACTGGCAGCTTCACTCACCCCGTGGTCCGACCATTGTTTCTGTAAGTCCATGTGAATTTTTCAAGTGAGTGCATCCAGGTCTCACGCTTTCCTCCTCTCCCCCCACCTCCTCCTCTTGCTCTCCCCCAGGAATGAGGGAGCACCCGCCCATTCCTGTCATTGACCTGGCTGATCACATAGAGCGACTCAAGGCCAACGACGGCCTCCGCTTTTCCCAAGAGTACGAGGTAAGAGCAGCACACCAGTGCAGCACCACTGATTCTTGCTCTTTGAAGCATATAAATGGGTTTCACTGTTATTGTGTCAGGGAGGAACTTTTTCTTTTTGATCTCATATGCATGTATTCTAATGGATTATGGGCGACTTCTCCCATAGACATTCTTCAGTCATTTTTACAACTCTATTACCAATCCCACCAGGAAACCAACACTTACATTAAATGCTGTGAGATGCTTTTTCACAAAACTAGCAGGTGGCGAGTCGCTTAGGCAATCTGTGTTCGTCTTGCTGTTTCCCTGAAGAATGTGTTTTTTTGCAGGCAGTCTCTCCAATAGAACTCAGTGAGGGATTATCTCTTGTCAGTGTTCTTCACCAGAAGAAAAAGGGAGCAAATTTGCATTTAAAGTGGTACATAGTTGGTTTGGGGTCTGAGCAAGGCCAGATGAAGAAGGGAGGCATCCTTGAATGCAGAAAAACACGATTTGTCTTTTATTTATTTGCTCTGATTGTTGGATCTGTCTGGTCTAATCAGGTCTTCTCAGTTGAAGGATCCAACAAGGAAGGGGGTTAGGATTGTTGTGGATCTTAGATTTATTTAGGTCAAGTCCTTACCTGGGTTGGTATGTTTGGGATCAGTGTTACTAGGTCATGAAATGTTGGCGTACAGCTTCACTCTACAACACAAGACAATATACTGATTTTTGGTCCCCTCGTAGTATCACAAACCCTAAACTAACTTTGATCACATCTTATATACCTTTTTAATTATCAATTTTTTTTTCTTTTGGCATCATAGTATAAAGATTTTCACCTTAAATGAAATGGTTTTAGGGGTGGGAATTTTACTTGTTAATTACAATTCATTGATTAGAAAAAATTTACATGTTAAAAAATTTCCCCTTGAGCCCAGTCCCCCCAATTGGGGGACAATAAAGTCTCCATTAACAACATATGCCCTATATATCAGTAAATATAATCAAACAGCTGAGCCTGGGCTACAAGATCATAGAAAACTTTTTTTACGTGCTCCAAAGAAATAATAGAAAATCTTCCCTTTTTACTGTTATGTTTTCTAGTTGGTAGAAAGCAAGCAGGTAGTAACTTTATCTATATGAACTTATAACAACAGGAGGGACGAGCATACACAAAGCATTCGCCGTGACCCTCAGCAGAACTCTACACTACACTTCGATATGCATTATATATAGGTCATCAATAGCACATATGCTAATGGTTGCCTTTATAATAATAATAATAATAATAATAATAATGCATTGAACTTATATAGCGCTTTTCAAGACACCCAAAGACGCTTTCACACACTCTCACATTCACACACTGCTAGTGATGGTAAGCTACTTGTAGCCACAGCCGCCCTGGGGAGGTCTGACAGAGGCGAGGCTGCCATTTGGCGCCGTCGGCCCCTCTGACCACCACTAACACAGGCAAGTTGGGTGAAGTTTCTTGCCCAAGGACACAACAGCAGGATACCCCTGGCAGGAGCTGGAATCGAACCCATGACCCTCCGATCATGAGGCAACCCGCTCTACCACCTGAGCTACTGCTGCCCCAATGAGACCAAAGTAATCAAATAGACCTTGTGGTTACAGAGATATACTCATTGAAGTGTGAGTATGTTATCTGTGTCTCACTAAAATTATTTTTATTAAAAAAAAATGCTTGGGTGCAAATCGTCTTGAACAATTAAAATGTGATTAATCAAGATTAATTAATCACAAAGCCTAATTAGATAAATTGTTTTAATTGAGTCTCACTCCTAGGTTTTTTTTTTGTTTACTTATGAGGAGTAGGAATGGATTTTAAGCAGTCTTCTATCAGCTAAGTCATTTGAAAATTACTACTAAATTACAACAAATCTAACAAGTCAATGGAGATTATTGGGCCTGGTTTATAATCTGCACCTCTCAGCTTGTTGCATTTGTGTTAACGAACCAAGTCATAGAGTAGCTTTGGTGACTAAGCAAGAGGCCCAGCTCAGCTGGAAAAAGTCACTCCGACCAAAGAAGACCCGCTCCATCGGCCAGCAGATGGCTGTTCGTCTTTGTGCCAGGCGAGGCGCTTCGGCAGAACTCATGGTGCTTTGTCACAGTCACGCTCACCGGCTGCTCCCATCGCACCGTACCCTAAAGCTTTGCCATGTCCTCTCCCGAGTGTTTTAAGCAGCCCAACACTTCCTTTACCACCAACGCCAGTCCGCTTCATGCTGGGAAATATGCACGGTGGGTAATGACAGGAATTTGTCAATCAGGCATGCTGCAGCTTTCGAGAGAGTTTCTTCTTTCTTGTCTTTTTCTTCAATATTTTATTGCCAGGGGCAACATCACCAGTTATCGTTGATCATTATATTCATTTAAAAGAATATCCAGTGTTTCCTGAGAACACCCTGGCCATTTGTTCCTCTCCTCTCTACCAACTTGTTTGCTAGTTGTCATCCGTCTGGTGTTCTTGCTGTGTTCACTCAGCACCCAAATTAACATGACATGGTTTGACTGCAAATTAAATCTTTCTCCATATAGTGCCGGGCACGGGCAGAGACACTGGCAGTGCTGAGCTCATCAGCAGCAATAGGCCTCTGCCCCTACGACTCTCAATGCTGAGTAATTTGTAGCTATGAAGAAGGATTTGTGCCGTGCGAGCACTTCATATTTTTCATATCTTGTTCAGCCGCAGCCAGCACGCACGTAGCTTTTTCTGATCACAAACTCTCTAGAAAGCTTGAATTATAGCTTTTATGCCATATTGCTAGCTTTGTAGGTGCTGCTTTAATCCAAAAGACAGCCTGAAGCTCTTCGGTGATTGCTGTTTATTGAGGAGAAGCTGTGGCTTTGATTTACAGAACAACAGGAAGCATTTTAATTCACCTCATCAGAACGTACAGGTCGATCCGATTGGTCAGCCAGGGTGTTTTTACGTTGAGTGGACAGCAGCTTAATTTGTAATTTTTTACTTGTGCGACAGCAAGATTAAATAAGTGTATAAATCTTAGAGGTGTCACTGTGACTGCTGCTGGATTTGCGAGGCGAAAAGCCCACGGAATTACTGGACAAGCTTCTGGCGTGTAGAGAAAGGGGATCGATATGGAATAGCAAGAGACACTGACATTATCCAACAAGGGATAGAAGACCATCACATATCTCCCAGGATCAATATGTATGCAGTCTGCTGTCGCCTTTTGCCAGGAGTCAAATGACGTAAGGGGAAAATTGCTTGAAATGGTGAGGGGCAGGAGGCGAAGTGAGAACATCAGAAAGAAAAGAGGCGACAAAGAGAAAAACAAAGGACAGAGACGGCGTGAGGAATCATGATGTGCACAGATTCTCTGAAAAAAAGGATTTTAAGTCAAATCGAGAGGGTTTGGTTGCTTACATACTTTTTCTTATGTCATACAAACTGGTAAACCAGAAATGTTCAATGTAGGTAAACTACAATGATGTTCTGCTGAGCTGTGGTGGCCTCATGGAGGGGGCCATCGGCTTGAACACTGCTTCTAACCATTTAGACATTCTCCCTCTCCTGATATTAACATTTTACTTTCTTTGACATTGAATGTGCTACTACTAGTTTGCCCGTTTAATTATAAATTCACTTGGATAAATACAATAAAGTTTATCTCTCACCAAATAGAATATTTACTAAGAAATCACAGTGTAACCATAGAAACACTACTTGGTATATATGTTGTGTGAGTGGATGTGTGTGTGTGTGGGTGGGCTGGTATTGGTGTGTGTGTCTGTTCTGTCTTCTCCATCCCCAGTGAGTCGTGGAGGATGGCTGCTTATACTGAGCCAGGATCCTCTGGAGGTTTCTTCCTGTTAAAAGGGAGTTTTCCTCTCCACTGCCGCTAAATGCTTTCTTAGTATGAGTATGAAACCCAATTTGCTGGGTTCTTTTTATAGGAAACATTTTACTGATCGTCTTAATGAACTGACCTGTATTAGAACGTTTACCATGTGAAGTGCCTTGAGACGACTCTAGTAGTGATTTGGCGCTATGTAAATAAACTTGAATTGAATTGAAAATGTGTCACTTGTTAACTCCAATCCCCATTAGCACCGCACAAATACAGAATGAATCTGCATTAAAATGTGAATAAACTGTAGAGTTTGCTCACCAGCTTTGCAGCTCATGACATCCTCCTGCAGAATAATTTCACCGCATTTTTTTACAAACAGAAGTATCTCCTTTGTGCTTGTGTTTTACTTCTCTCTGTCCTCTGTCTTGTGTTTATCCTCTCTCAGTCTATTGATCCCGGTCAGCAGTTTACCTGGGAAAACTCCAACATGGAAGTTAACAAGCCAAAGAACCGCTATGCAAACGTTATTGCTTATGACCACTCCAGAGTGGTCCTCACCTCCGTTGATGGTAAGAACTTGTCTCTTAACCCCCTCAGATCACTACTGACTCAACTCAGAGACATGTGTGCCTTCTGCTGCCACTACTCAGAGCTGTGAATACCATTAATATTGCTGCTGTAGCTGATTGGTTGTCTCTGGTTGTCATATTTATTATTACATTTTCATCATCTTGATTAAAATGACCTTCATTTGATGACGTGAGAGCCAGCGCAGGTTTATAATGTTATGAGTAATCCCTGCTTTCCCGCTCCTCATTCCAGCTGTTCCAGGAAGTGACTACATCAATGCCAACTACATCGACGGCTACAGGAAGCAGAATGCCTACATCGCCACTCAGGGACCTCTGCCTGAGACCCTGAGTGATTTCTGGAGGATGGTGTGGGAGCAGAGATCCAGCACCATCGTCATGATGACCAGGCTGGAGGAGAAGTCACGGGTAAGCAGTTACTGGATGCAGAAAGCTGACCATAAAAGGAATGTTTCCTTTACTTTTAAGCAGCTTTTTCCTGCAAATCAATGATTGATGTATTTACAGGTTAATGCTCAATTTTTAAAAACAGGGTGTCCGCGGGGTTTTAAAAAGTATTAAAAAGTGATAAATAAAAATAATCAAATTTAAGGCCATTAAAAGTGTTAAATTTGGTCTCAGAGGTATTATATTTTCCAAATTAGGTATTATTTTTTTCAGACTATCAGATGTCGTATTCTGAACATCGACATAGAAGTATATTCCGAATGAAATGTTTTGAACGATTATAAAAACAAAACAAGCCGATTATTTGCTCCGCCCACTTGCGCTGCCCTGAGTTGCAAATGAAGCGCTCCTCCACAGTGTTGCCAACTTGGCGACTTTGACGCTATTTCTAACAGCTTTTCAGACCCCCTTCTTGACTTTTTAAATCTTAAAAGTACCTAGCGAACACCTCAGAAACATCTCTGGTAACCCTTAGGTACTTTCTGGATAACTGTCGTCGACATTTCCTGCAGGTTAGCTAAACACTGCCTGCGCTCCGGACCGTTCTTCAGGACATTAGGAAAGGGAATGATGTAGTGATGTGTCGGTCGCTAAAGAAACAGCTCTCAGAGCCGGCTCCCTGTTGGAGTAACCAGAGTGAGTGACACACACACCGCACCTGCGGACTCCTGAGCCGATAAAAACGGCTAAATGTGCGCGTGCGGCATGCTAAACACACGAGCAGCTTGCCCCTGATTGCTGTGAGACCGGGTTGGGGGTGGGGGGGTGCAGCTGTGGTTGGGACAATTATTACATTAACTGATGGACTTGTAAATAAATAGTTTATAAATAAGGTAGAAATAAGTTCCTCACGCTGATAAATAATAACTAATCTCTCTGAGGACACGGTGCTAGTGCACTCTCCTACAGCACCTTGACACGACTCAATAAATGTTATGCAAAATTTAGTGAACATCAATTTGCATTTATTTGTTATAAATGCCACTGTATAATTCTTGTTGTCAGTTTTTGCAAGATATTGGTATTTGGGTCTGTACTGGTTAGACTTACATGAGTTAAACCAAGGTCTATGCCTTGGGTCATAGACTATGAGCTGTAAGTATATTGGTCTTTTTATACTGGGAATCAGGAGTTATTTTAGTGATCATCTTGTTTCTTGTTTATTTTTGCCCTGATTGTGCCCTGAGCAGTTTTATGACTGAATAAAAATAAAAAAATAAAAATCTACATAAATTGAAACATCGTCTTAAATAATCGAGATCTCAGTTTCAGTCACAATAATCGTGATTATTGTTTTTGCCATAATCGAGCAGCCCTACTTTAGCATATCCGGTCACATAATGATAACGTCCTATTCAGTGGTCGTTGTGCATCATTTCAGGCCTCGTGGTCAACTGTCTGAACCGCTGAAAAGAAGTGCCTGGCTTATTTTCTAAGTAAAATAAATATGTGCAATACATTGTCAACATCAGTGAGTCTCTAAGTCTATTCTTTTTGTATGTTATATATGTTAAAATATGTGTAAATAGGTCGCTGATTAACACTTGCAATTTAGTGTTGTGATGGTTTTAAAAAAATTCTGAAGGTAGTAAAAAAAGTAGTAAAAAGTAGTAAATTTTACTTAAGGATTGCTGTATATACCCTGAAAAAGTATAATATTAAAGGGATATTCCACCCCTGAGTACAATTTAGTCTTGCCAAATTGCCCAGAGTTATATCTGACGGTATTATTTTTACGTTAGCTTAGCATAAACAATGTGAGTGAATGGTATCTGCTAGCCTTTCATGTGAAAAAGTTTTGAAAAATACTCAATAATTATCTTAAGTTTTCTTGGTGACCTCAATAATAATATCAACACTAAGGAATTACAAGAGACTTGGGTTAGGGTTAGGTTACAACAAAGCACTGCTGTAAGTTTCAGCTGCAAGGAGCGAGGGCATGACGTAGTGGTGCCAGAAGACACCTGCTTCATCTTTCAACTCACTATGCTGTTCCTTCAGAAAGACTGTACCAGGTCTAAGCCTAATAGCACACATGTGTGTTTATGGAAGTAGGTCTCTTTTTGAATTTTATTGATTGATTAATGCAAGCTGTTATCTTTCACTTACGTTGTTTATGCTAAGCTAAAGCAAATGGAATACTGCGATATCAGGGGAATGACTGGATTACAAAATGCCTTGTCACACTTATCTAACTCTGGGGAATATGGCAAAAGACTAAATGTCACTTAGGTGTGGAATATCCCTTTAGAAGAAACATCAAACTGAAATAGTTTGACAATTTTACTATTGTAATGATAAATATTCTAAATTCCTTGTTTTTTGAATGCATTCACACCACCCCACTGTCCATCATTTCAGTTTTAAAATAAGACAATTTTATGTAAGGAAATTATCAAGTTTTCTTAATCTTTGCTAAAACCTTTTGTGAAGCACAATCCTGCACAGTAAGATCTGTTGGTACTGTGTTGTACATGACACGTAGCTGTTAGACGTTAGTATACATTTTTTAGAATTGCATAAATAAGTGTTTTTTATGGTCAGTTGTGTCTCTCACACACACACACATGCGCGCACACACACACACACACACACACACACACACACGTATCCAAAGACAAAAAAAGGTACCTACTACTTACCTGTCAGTAGGTAGGCAATAATAAACAGAACATTTCATTTTCTTGTTTAATGTATCTTTATTAAACTAGATAAAACAAAAATGTAAGTCTTTTTTACTCTTCCACCAACTTTAACAGAATTATGACAAAAAATATCCCAGCTAGCGTGCGTAGGTGAGCCCCAAATGGATATATATGGGCAAATCGTATTGGTACCAACAAGGTTTGTCTGCGGTTTCCATGGTGGCCCCACGGACAGGGGTTTGCCTGCATACATTTTTGCCTGCACATATTTTAATGGCCCCTACAGTGGGTTTTCAAAGGGACCCAGATGATTTGACTCATACATAGGCTTGTTAAAATCTCTGTGGGCAAATCCCTGTGGATTAAGACCATACAGACAAACCCTGTTGGCACCCATACGGCTCGCCCATATATGTCCATTTAGGGCCCACCTATGTATGCCTGGCTGGGGTGAGGACCCAAATGCTGGCTCAGGCAGGAAAAATATGGAGGAAAAGTAAATAAATTATACATTCTTACTAAAGGCTAAACTCACAGGGACAAATTATTATGAACTGGTGGAAAGTCAAATAAATCTAGGACTAGATCAATTTAATATGTAATTAAAAAGACCACAGTTTAAATTATCCAATCTTTTTTACAGTGTGGTCAGAGTTCATACCAGGGTTGGTGTTCTAGTAATTCATTACCATAGTCCGTTTGAAGCAGAATGACAAAAATAACTAATAATTTTCATTTTGGTGCAAGTGATTAGCCAAGGATGATCTTCTTGAATGTGGCACTATCCTAGCTTGGAAGCTGTCAGAGCGTCATGCAGAAGTTTGTCTTTGGCCATCACATTGACATATTTTCTAGACTGGCATAAAATAAATCTACCCTGGAGCCTCCTATTAAAATTTAATGATAGTGCAAGACTAACTTTAATAAAATGGTCTACGATAAACATCTTTAAGATAAACATCTTTAATGACCACAAGGTCTTGAATATTAACTTTGAAGCAATCATTTTGCATTCACATGCAAGTGTTACCAGCCCAGCCACTGTTAGAATTAAACCATGAAAAAGTGTACATTAAAAAAAATAACAACACTGTATTAAAATTGCATCCAGCTGCTGCAGACTGTGAATTGAAGCAGAGTGACATCAGCTGAGTTGATATTGTGCACTTTTTTACATTTTAACTGAAATGGTAGAAATCTGACCTCACTGCATTAGGATTGGATAGTTGTGATGATGGTACTAGACCAGAAATGGATTAGTGGTCCGGGACTGAAACCAGTAAACTGATTACAGAATGTGCGACTAGATCAAACATTGCATATAATGATGCAATCTGCAACTGAAAGTGTAGAATAAGGTCTAAATTTAGCTAACTAACAAAAGCACATGAGCCACATCAAAACCAGTCAACTGGATTAAATCTCTTAACTACAAGCTGCTGTAATAAGAGCATCAAGGGGAAATAATGATGTTTCTATGGAAACTCAAACAAAAGGCCGATGTTTCAAAGCTAAGACGTGGTTGAAAATGGAGATACCTGACCTATATTGTTATATGTTTGTGCAGCTCAACACTTAGGACCTCTAAAACCCAACAAAGCTTGCAGGCATCTAGACACCCGGTCTTACTTTAAAGCAGGATTTGTCAGCCTGATCAAAGTCACAAGGACTTCAAAGGATTCTTCGGTTGTCTGTGGACAATATCTCTTCATGTTGCTCCTCCCGAGTCTCCACAACCTCCAGAAACTTCTGCATGGATTCTATCTAAATAAGTTTATTAATTAACACTGAACCACAGCTTTGTACTATTTCCAATTTCCCTCCCTGTTGTTTGTTTGTCACTCGTCATGGAAGTAGGGTTATAAATTTGCTCATAAGAGCAACACTTGCATGCCCACTGGTGAAAGTCAGAACATTTTCAGCCAAATTACTGCAGGCGCAGGCCTTCTACTGCTGTATTTAGCTTTTTCATAATAACCCGAAGTCTGTCATTATTTAGAAAGTGCTCCAAGAGTTCAACTCTCGATTGCTGCGTGTTTATTTTTGTGGAGGCGCACCAAGGTTTCACAGACAGCCTCATTTGTGTTGCACTTTCTGAATTTAGCCCACTAAAGCCACAGCTCTGTAATGAAATTCCTGAAGCTGGAGCTAAAGGAGGATCGTCATCCAACAACATTTGCGTTCTCCCTAAATACATTAAACCGCAAGAAAGAAAAGAGAAAAAAAGAGCGAATGAGAACTTGAGATTTTAAATTTGGAAGGAATTTATTTAATTACTGCTGGAAAATAATGGCTCACATATTCCTGGGAGAGGGA